AATAGTATTTTATTCATGTTTGAATTTTTTTCTATTGACAACTTCATCCATTATATCGCTATTTTAGCAATATTTTGACTTCAGTTTATTTCAAAACAAAAAAACACAAAACAAAAAAAGCAAAAACAAAAACAAAAACAAAGAAAAAACATCAATTATAAAAATTTCTTCTTATTTTTTCAATGTTATTAAATAATTTCTTAAATAATCAACTAATCAAGTTATAAAATTAATTTAATTTTGAACTATTTCAGATTACAGTATCCCTTAGAAAGTTATCGTACCGTTTTTTTTTTCCTTTTATTTTTATTTTTACTTATAAAATATAAATGAAAAAAAAAAAAAAAAAAATGTTATATTATTTTACAGATAATGCGATGTGGTTTTTGTGATTGCTTTGGACCATTTTTATCACATCGTAAAAAAGATAACTTGGATTTACCATTAGATCAAAATACATTAAACAGATGTTTAGAACTTGTTCAAGCACATGAAGCTCGGCAAGATAATCTCTTGAAGGTTAATTTATTTCATTTATACTCTTTTAACAAGAGAGAGGGAGAGAGAGAGAGAGGGAAATGATGGAAAAGAAAGAATGATGATCTATGACAAAAAATTTTTGCAGTACCCAATGAATTTGCTAAATGGACAAATAAAAATTTTGTGATATCCAGTAATAAAATTTAATAATTTTACTAATACTTTTTCCAAATTTTCATTCTTTCATTTTATGGCTTAAAATTAAGTTATTCGATGGTATTACTTATTTATTTAGTATTTTTTTTATTACACTAAATAATGATTAATTCATTACTGCCAATTAATTTCATTTCCATTTCTTATTGCTCAATTTTTTGCATTTATTTTGCATGTTTTGGTCAATAAAACTAGCTTATATTGTTAGATTTCTATGCTTGGCCACAACAAAATATTTTCCTTGGCTTTAAGGAAAAATCAATAGGCTTTTATCAGACTAAGCATAGCTGATGATATTTTGCCATTGGCGCAATGAGACATCAATAACTTTTTGCATTCTTTTTCCTTTTGCCATTTATCTAAGCAAGCCTAGAAGAGGAGATAGCTTTCTTTTTACCTCTCTAAAATATTTCTCATAAATATTTATGAAATTCAACAACTGATAACACTTAGCAACTGTTTAAAGCCAACTGACCATTTTAAAATTTCTTACTTTAAACAAAATCATTAACCTTGTAAATCATTAATTAAAAATGTAATTATCATCAAAAGATGGGGAAAAATTCTGAAAAATTGCATAAAATTAAATATAATTTTTAAATGTTTTTATAGTTCTCAAAATGTCTAAATTAGTTTTCTTAAGCTTCGCAATTTAGTTAAACTTTTATATACATTACACATTTAATTATAAGTATTAAATGCTTCAAAATAGTGCAATACCTGAAGCATTATCGGATATTTGATATGATTTTAGAGTTCGGAACATCAACGACCTCTTATTTCAACAGTTTATGAGACATGTGCTCCTTATCGAAATACCACAGTGTATCCGATTGAGTTATCACATAATAGAAATTATCGACTTGGTACTCCACCACCATCGTACAGGTAAGTTATGAACTGTCACAGGTAATTTCATCCTATAGTGAACTGATACTAAAGTTATTGTTAGGTGTAAGTTCGGAATTATGTTGAATAATTTCAATTATTAAGAAAGTTTCTCCTCAAAGTTTCTTTAAATTGAGAAATCAGATTAATACTAGAGTATACGTTCAGATAAGATAAAGTTAATCAAAGTAATTACAGAACATAATTAGCTTTCTCAGTTATTAATTATTGATATCCATTAATCATTGCTTATTTTTGACTAATATAAACTGAAACGAAATTACAAATGCATTATTAAACTGAAAATAGTATTTATTGTTGATGGGATAAATTTTTGAAAATATATCTATTTTATTTTATTAACTTCCTAATTAAATATTTTATATCCTGTCATTGTTCTGCATGGCTAAACTTGAATAAATCGGCTTCTCATTAAGGTATCTAAATTTTCCGTATGAAATAAATTTTAAAATTAAAACATTTACCATTGAAATTTTGTATTAAAATAATTAAAAATTAATAATAAGGTTGAGCTAAAAAATATCAATTTCAATCATTACCTTGCATATTTATTCATTTCACTAAACTTTGATTTTTTTTCAGGTCAGTAGAAATGCAAAAGAAACAAGATCAAATTCGAAATCTTTTAGGTGGTACAAATAATAATAATAATAATACAAGGATATAGTTGTAGTTATAATTCATTATATTATTCAAAGATTTATTAACTATTCATAAGTCAGAAAATAAAAACAAAATTACTAATGTTTTATCAGTTTTTGAAAAGGAAAAGTTATTTCATTTAAGAAAAAGAAAGTTTACAAAATTTGAAATTTATCTCAAAAAAAAAGTAAAACAGAAAGAAAAAAGAAAACTCATACATATACATATATATACATACATTTTGCAGTTGGGTTAATTTCTTTATATCAATTGCATAATATTCAAATTGTATAAAAATTAAATTTGTGAATGTAAAATTGTAAACTAAATAGTCTTCTGATCTTTCTATCTTTGTATTAAAATGAAAGAGAGAAAATATACGAAATAGATTTAGTTATGTTTCAAAAAAATTAAAATTAAATTTAGCAATTATAAAAAAAAAAAAAAAGTTTGGGTAAATGTTGAAAATGTAATATATGAAAAGAGAAAGATTAGGGATGAATGGAGCGATAATATTTTAATTTGTTCCAAAGTTATATAACAGTTAATCGAGAATTTACTAAATAAAAGTATAAAATTTAGTGGAAATATTGAAATATATTAATCAGAGAAAATGGAAGTAAAAATGGAAAATATTTCAAGAATTAGGAAAAAAAGAAGACAAAAAGGAAAGGAAAATATTAATTTGATTAAGCATTCAAAAATAAAAAATAAAAAAACGAATTGTTAAATTTTAATCTTCATACTGCTATCTTGAATGCTAATTTTTGTTTTAAAAACAATGATAAAATTCAATTAGTTCTTTTCTAAATAACAATCATTTATTACGGTTTCTTTCTTATTTTTACTAAAAAAAATTTATAAAAATTTCTTTTAATTTTATATTATCTTTTAAATTATTCAAAAAAAAGCCCAAAATTTTGTTCGAACTGTTAAGATTTTGATTTAAATGCCATAATGAATATTACTGATCTACTGCTTGTTTACATTTCTTTTTTGTAAAATTTCTTTCAATTTTTTTGAAAAATTTCATGAATTTTTATCTGTACTAAATCACATTTTCTAATGTGAAAAAGTTATCTGAATTGCACTTCCAGTTTTTCACACATTTCAATTATCTCTTTTTCTTCTTATGTCTAAAAATATTAACAATTTTTTCTGCCTTCAAAATTTAAGTCATTTTTATTGTGCTAGTTTACAGGCTTATTTAAGTGATAATAAGCAATTTTCGAATTAAGTGAAAAAAAAAAATAATTTAATTTAATTTAATTTAGGCATAATACAATGTTTCATTTTAAAAAAACAGTTATCATTTAAATGGATTTAATTGTTCAACTATTTATTTTGCTTGTTCAGTTATATTATTTCTATTTTATTTTACTACTTTTATTTCATTTTATGATAATATTTCAATATTTTTCTTTTTTTTTTTTATTTTAAATTATGTTTTATACTTCATGGAATATTTTTATTAATTGCTGATTACTTCTAGTCATTTGTATAGATTTAATTTTGATTTTTTGTCTGTGTTTTTTCCTTCCCTTTTTTTTAATGGCTGTGAATTATCAGTGTTCAAAAACCAAAATAAATAAATATTTGCTTGAATTGCAGCAATCAAATTGTTTTAAAATGAATGAATACATTTTGCACATTAAAAAAAAGCAAATAGTAATAATTTTAATAAGCAAAATTCTTGCACAGCTATGTTTGCTTATTTAAAACATAAATTTTTTATTGCTTCTCTATGGATTTACTTATCATTTTCTTTTATCAAAAATTTCAAATTTTACAAATCCTTTCAAATTTTTACAAATTTTTGCAAAATTTTGCAAAAAAAATAAAAATAGATGTTTTTCTATTACATTATATAATAGATGATTAGATGGCAGCACTGAACTGCGACATGTCAACACCTAAGAAATGAAACTAAATTTTGACACTGACAAAAAAAATTATACCAAAATCATAATAAATCCTATGCTATCAATTAGCTTATAAACAGTGAATGTATCATTTGTAGTTTGATGTATACATAATTTGATATGATAATCACCGGAAACGAACTGCATTATACCATCATTGATTGATCGATATGAATGATTTGAAGCAGAAAAAAAAAAAAAAAGAAAAAAACGACGAAAAATATTTCTAAAAATTCTGATTTTTAGTTTGCTATCTTTGATTTATCAGAGAACGAAAAAGAAAGTTGAACGAAGAGAAAATTTTAAAATTTTATTTTCTTGATGTCTTCTTTTTTACTTTTGCTTTTTCGTCTGAACTGAAATTTCTTTTATTTGTCACTTTGCATTATTCAGAATGATACGATGATCGATATAGTATTTTACAAAGTAACAAATTGAACTTCTATGCAACAAAATTTATTGAATTTCTCTTTTCTTTTTCTTTTTTTTTTTTTTGCTTCCTGTTTATTTAACAAAAAAAAAAAGTGCAATTAAAAAAAAATGTTTGATGCAACAGCTCAATAAGTTAAAATAAATAAGTGCTAAAGAAGGATTGAAAAGTTATTTATTTTTGAAACAAATACACGTTAATGGAAATTTATTAATTAAGAAGTAAACTTCAATAAATAAAAAAAATCCAATAAATGCTATACGGATAATAATTTTATTATCTATCTATATGATGAATAATAAAATTATTGAATGAGGAAGAGACGAAATCAAAAAATTCCATGAATTAAAATTCATAGCATACAAAAACTGAATTTTAATCAAGCATTATGATTCTTTCAATTAATTCTCTTTCAACCAATCATATTTGTACAGTAATCTTTGACCTAGAGTTGAATTCTTTTTTATTGTATTTCGTTCGTCCAATATTATCCTAAAAATTCAATATTTTCATTTTATTTTGACAGACATGATATCTTTATTATATGAAATGAATTTTGAACATTTCATCAAGTGACGCTGAATGAATTGAGATATGCATTTCGAAACTTTAGTATTTTGAAACTTACCGGAATCAATTCTGTGATAAATCATCAAAAGTTTGATTGTAAAATAAAATTTGAGAAAAAAAAAGGATTAAAAGAAATGTCCATCGAAGGACACCCTAATTATTACATACTTTATTTAACATACAGTCAAGTTGTCAGAAAATACACCCACTTAATCGATGAGCAAAAATATGATTCTGAAGCTTTGAATGAGAAAATGAAATAAGAATCACTCACTTTCCAAGCTTGTGATCATCCATTTCTGTTGACGAAAGAGCGCTATGAATAAGCAATTGTGCGAATACATCACGCTTAAATATTGAAATTTTTTTCCTGATTATTTACTCTCTAATTGAAGTGATTTAAATTTAGAGCACTGATCCAGTTGATATCAAACACATCAAATTTTGATATGTGCATGAATTGCATAACAAAAAAAAAAAAAAATGCTTTAAGAAAAAATATTTTTATATTGCCTTTATTTGCAATTTACGAAACTATTTAGGTTTGGAATGAAAGCTTTCGTACTTTTCTCTTTTCACTAATTAAAATGTCAAAATGGCGAAATTTTTATTGCATAAATCAATGATGCTACCGTATGCAGCGACTACAGTATCCAAGATGATACAGTACGCATAATGCATGATGTTGTACCAAAAGCGCTTATTTCGTACAAGCTTCCCTACCCAACAGTCAAACTTAGCGCGGCTTAAACACTAATAGGAGCATCAATCCTATTACCTATGTTACACTACTACTTACTTAAGTAATTGTATTGCATACAGTATCATCACTTATACGGTAATCAGCAATATATATTACAGTATACATTAATACATATATGTACATTGATAGAAACTTTATATTATAAACATATAGCTATGAACTTCTTTGATATCTCTACCTTTTGTGTTGACAAATATTACGATGCATGTATACTACATTAATATATTAGGTATAAATTGCTAAGTTATACTGTAAATATTGCAAACTTACCTGTGCATTACTGCCACCTATATTGTACACATTGTGTCGTATGGGTGCTAATGTCTGAACAACTTTATGATAATCACCGCTGTAATAAAAAGTTATCGCATCACAGATAGATTTTCCGAAATTTCGAGTTCGATCGTTGTTGTCACCACTACTGTCACTGTAATAATATGATATTAATATGAAAACAAAAAAATTCATAATTATATCAAATACGGAATACATTAGCATTTTTAAATTAGTCATTAATTTTTTATATAGTATTGCTATAATAAATTTAATTCAACGCAATTTTCTTTTTTTCTTTAAGAAAAAATGAAGATTTTAATACCAAATCAATTTTTTCTTTAAAGTAATAAAATTTCGCCACAAAAAGGAAAGAAAAAACAAATAAATTTTATGCGAAAAACCTTAATGGTATTCTGACTAATGTAAAGAGATTTACATGCATCATTAATTAATTATATAAAAAAAAAAAAGTTAGCTCTATAAAATTTGCAATGCTGTCACAGTGATCCTTTCTTATTGTCTTATCATCACAACCTTCAATAACCATACGAATATGTGCATCATTGAAAGCTAATATATGATCTAAAATTATTTCAAAAGATGGAATTTAATCAGCTATAAATCTTTACCTTCTTTGTTTTACTTTTTCAATTCTTTTTGCATTTGCAAAGACATTTATTAAAATCAGATGATCATTTAACAATTCTATTTTAAATTGTCTAATCAAATAATATTTCAGATAGCAAAAAATTTTTAATTTTTTTGACATTTCAAGGAAAGAAAAAATTTAAGAATCATCAAAATGTTAACAAAATTTTGATTAATTGGAATTAATTGAACATATGTACAGAGATGTTTTTATATTTCAGGATTTATTCAAAATAATTATAAAAGCTAATTTTTTCTACTTTCTACTCAAATTACTTATAAAAACTATAAAATCTACCGTTCAGATGTGATTTAACAACTGGTAGAAGAGCTTTCCAACGATCACCAACTGATATACCTTCCATTTCGAAGCGAAGAAGAATTGAAGATGCATCAACAATGTCCAGCATTGCATCACTTTTTGTACGATTTCCAATCTCTCTAAATAGACTTATTCCCAAAATATTTCTTCAAAGTTTCTTCCGCTAATAAGAAATCATTAATTAAAGGTATTTCAAAAATTAAAGGTATATTTTTTAATGCTTGCTACACTGTTATACTATCTTTTAAGACATGTAAATAAGTGTAATCATTTAGATGATATATAAGTAAGAGCATAAATTGTCAATTAAATGACTGTAAAAGATTTTAATTAAGATCCTAATTAAATGGTAGTATAAATTTCATTTAATTAAATATAATTAAATAAAATTAGCTGTAATTAAATAAACAATTAAATAAAATTGACTGTATAATACTATAAAAATTAAAATAAATGAGCTTACTTACACTGTAAATCTTTATTCTCATTTGTTTATATTTGAAAAGAAAAAAAAAAATGTAATTTCTTTTTCAAGTATATATAAAATTCATATAAAACATATATTCTTTTTCAATGTTCAAATACAACAATTATTTATAACTATCCAATAAAAAAAAGACATTTCTTTAAGTATTATTTCTGAATTGCTAAAAGGTTTATTTAAAATTTTAATGATGAAAAAATGATGCAATTATTGATAATAAATGCATGCAATGAATGCCTGTCGTAGTATGATAATGCTTCATCATATTTTTGAAGTTCGATGTAATAAAGTGCAGTATGCCAGTAATTATGACATGCAAGTAAGGAACATTTCTGAAATAATAGAAATGTTTAAAAAAAAAATTCAACATTTTTAAAGTATTAAAATTTTTTGAAAAGGTTTTTCAGAAATACTTTTCGTTTTTTAATTTTGTGATTACGAAGAAAAAAAAAAAGCAAATTTTGTAGTTGTTTATGTAGGCTATATGCTCAGCAATGAATTCATTTAGGAGAAAAGAAAATGCGTTTTTCGAAAAGATATATGACTCTGCCTTACTTCTCGTAAATTTCATCCATCAAATTTTATGCAATTTTCAAAATTAAATATGAAAACTGTATTATGAGAAAATATTACATAGAATTTATTTACAGGATGATTAGCTATGATTGAGACTGGAGATCGTTATTATTTGGTTTATTCGAGAAATGATTAAAGTCACTCGAAATTTTCTTATATCTCATCCAGGAAAGGTGAAGCTAACATTTTCCTTTTCCTCTAAAACCAACTTTTCATTTCAATTCATTTTACAAACTAATAATTGTTTAATTTATCAAACCGAAATTCTTGCACAGCTTAGGCTTACATTCCAATCGGTTTCAGTTGATTCCATAAAACGAATACCTTCTTCCACACAACCATTCATTTCCATACAATGTGCTAAAGCATGTGTTGCCCAACCATCATGTCTATTCAATTCAAGTCCCTAAAACCGGAACCGGAATCAACTGGATTTCATTTAGCTAAATGCAACAAAAATGTCACATAGCATGGGAAAACATGTACAGAGAATACAAAAATGGGTGATTAAGGCCATTGTAATAATATTTTATAAATTTTAAATAATTAAATTTAATTTTTTTATTAGTAAAATAAATGAGAACATTTACTTTCTTGACATATTTTTATTACTAGTAAAATAAGTGAGGAGATTTATCTTCTTGGCATATTTTTATAACTAGTAAAATAAGTGAGGAGATTTACCTTCTTGGCATATTTTTATTACTAGTAAAATAAGTGAGGAGATTTACCTTCTTGGCATATTTTTATTACTAGTAAAATAAGTGAGGGCATTTACCTTCTTGGCATATTTCTTAGCTTCATCGTACTGCTCACATTCTTCCAGGCCAAATGCATACATACCATAAAGGTAGCTCAAATAATACTTTTTACTTATTTAAGCACATGGATGACAGTTGATCTATTCAAAAACTTAAGAAAGAATAACTTTGCATAAAATATTTGATAAATTGATTTATGAATAGAAAAATTGATTTGTCAAAAATATTAACTAAAATGTAAATGCGAAACTATCATTGTTTAAAGTAATTTACAAAAAAAAAAAATTTTTTTTCTTTAATAATTTGACAAGTTAGCAAAATTTCAGATTATAAATGTTGATTGCAAAATTATTTCCTTTGTTTTTTTCATAACTAATATATTTTTCTAAATTGTCATTAACTTCAAAAAAGAAAAAAACAAAAACAAAAACAAAAGCAAAAGCAAAAAAAAAGAAATCATCGACTAGACTTATTTTAAAATTACACTTTAGACATATTGCCTAAAATCTAAAAAATCGAGAAAAACAAAAGAAGAGAATTGAAAAACCTATAACACGGTGTTGTTGATTTCCATTTTGGTATTACCCGGGCAATACTATCTCGAATACATTGTTTATTACCCAAATAAAAGTATGCGTCTTGTGCAAATTTTAACGCCAACAAATCATTTGGTATTTCATTCAAAATTTTTTCCCATTCTTCACATGCTGCTAGCATTTTACTGTAAAAAAAAAGAAAAAAAGAGAAAGAAAAATTGCTTCAATTTTTTTGACTAAAAATTACTTTTAATTTAGAATTTTTTTTTTCCTCACTTAATAATCAAAACTTGTAAAATAAAAAAAAAAAAAAACAAGTTAATTTTGATTTGTTGATTTGATCTATCTACTAAAGTATCAGACAATAATCTGCCATACTGACATTCTTGGTAAGATTGAATGAATTTATTGCAATAATAATTTTAAAGTGTATAATGATAATTTCAAACACTATCTATCTCAATTTTAATTGTAATAATAATAATAAAGTTAATTGATTAAATACTAATTAATTAATTAGTGCAATGACTAACTCATTAGCAAACAAATGGATAGCTTTAGCATGATTTCTCTCATATATGGTACCATATTTTGTTGCATCATTTAACAATTGGTTTAATTGATTGCGATAATTTTGATCTAATCGTATCGATCGACCTGTTCCCATCACTTCCAAACCCAATGAGATTACTCGACTCATTACTAAAAACTAAAAAAAATTATTTCAAAAATTTATGTGAATAGCTAATTAAAAAAATGAAAATATTTAAATATGCGAACGATTGAAATCAAAATTTATTATTATATTTATCATTATATCATATCATATCTTTTACGATTATCTTATCAAATATAATTTGATAAGATAAAAAATAATTATAATATAATAGTGCAATATTATAAAGTTATGCATAAAAATGCTTCACAATTATTTTTTAAAGATTAAAAAATAAGATAATAATTGATAAGATAGTTGAAGAGAATGTGATATAATGATAAAATTATCAAATGATATTTACTTAGTCAATCATATCATTCTTATCATCTCATACATCAAGTGTAAATAACACGTAAAAAAAAAAAAACACGTAATACTTTATCTTACTAGCATTTGGCTCTGCTTCAAGCATTATTCGAAGCGTTTGATCCATTCCACCTAATTGTGCACAGTCACTCCACGAAACGTATTGACGTAAAAGAGCGTCAAATAAACGTGCTGCTTCATTGGAAGTGGTTGAAATTTGAATACCTTCCGCTTTCCAAGCCTTTTAATTTTTTTTTTTAAATGCATTTATTTATTTTTTTTGACATTTTATTTACAAAATAAGTAGAATTTAACATTTTTATAATCCTAATTGCATGATAGCAATAAATTGTTTCCAAATAATAAATTTAATTTCATCATTTCAAAATAGAAATAAAAATCAAATAGCATAAAACGAAAAACTAATATTTTTTTTTTCGAACAAAAAACTAAACTTTATAATACAATAAAATTTTCAACCATTTTAATTCAATTATTTGTTTTTTATCTGTACAATAAACATTTTATTAATGAAATTCTTATTTCTGATATAAATTTAGAAATCAAACATCCAAAAAAAAGGAGAGGAAATGAAACATTATCGAATAAACAGTTAAAAATAAAAAGGAAAAAAAAAATTGAACCTGACAGTCGCGTAAATTCTCAGCGCACCATTCAGCCATCTATAATTTATTATTAAATTTTTAATTTCATATTATTGATATTTATCAAATGGTTATTTCCTTGCCACACAATAATATATGATTAAAATTATTGCATACATAAATCATAAATTTAACATATTTGAAAATTAAATAAATAAAAATTGCAATTAATTATTTTTAATATTACTAAAACTCGTTTATTTTATTGGAAATGAAACTTGTTTAATCTATATGAAAAGTGTTATTATCATTGTTATTATCAACAATTATCACTATAATGATTTAAGATTTAATTATCATTATGATTTCAAAGGTACTTGTAGAATTTAAAAATTTCAATATAATAACAATAAAGCTTTCCATAAACAGTCTGATAATTATGTGAAACTGATCTGTTCAGTTGATTTCTATTTACAATTTTTTTTTGCTAATTATGTAATAAATAGAGATTAATTATAAATTAAAATATAACATTGTCTTTCTTTTCATTTTATTCTTAGCAAGATTGAAGATAAAAGTAATATAAAACATAAAAAATGATAAAGTGATTAAAAAAATTAATTTATTTTCAGCTGAAAAAAAAAGTGGAAAAAAAAAATTAAAGCGATATCATTTAAGATTAACAAATAAAAAGCAATTATAAAATGTTATCTGTCCATATTACAGATTTATATATAATTGTTTAAACTTTAATTTTTTTGATCTAACTTAATTTAATGTTGTGAAGTAGATTTAATTGTGGCTTTTGTTAATTAAATCTATTTGTTGATATAACAAAAAAAAAAAAGTGATAATTGCTGTTTTTGCTAAATTTATCATTGTACTACTATTATCAATTATTACTACAATTATTTGTATAAGTGTTATTTCGGCAAATTAATAAATAATATTTTATGTTTTATTAACCAATTTAAAATTATTTTCTCTAAAGTGTTAAATTGAAAATAATATCAAAATAATCTGAAATTTTGTAAGAAAAAAGAAATAATCGTAAATCCTTTAAAATTTATTCGTTTTTCTCATTGTTAACAGCATTATTTTGAATCTTTTGTTTTTTTTTTTTTTTTTTTTTTTTGTAAAAATTGTTAAAAAAAAACGATAAAAGAAAAAAAAAAGAGAAAAGATGGAAAAGAAAAGAAAAAGAAATTAAGAAATTACAGAGTGTAACGTTTCAATCATTAGAAAGGAGTGGTTTAGGAGCATTTAAGAATGAATGAAAATTGATAGGAATGAAATGTCTATCAGCAGAGAGGGTCAAACGCTGTTGAGAGCTTGCTTATTTGGCATGTCATCAAATGTCACCAAATAAACTGACGACGAGTTGTAGCGTCCGAAATTTTTATCGTGATCGATGGTACTGGCAATGTGATAGAGAATGGAGTGATAGTTGTAGTAGTAGTAGTAGTTGCAGTAGTGATAATAACAGTGATAATGATAATAGTAGTATTAGTATTAGTAGGACTTATTGTTCGTTAAATTTAATTAATTTTCGAACTATTCTTATCATTTATTGTATTCTTATCATCATTATCAATGTTGTCACAACAAAAGATATCGCACAGCAAAGGTAAATTCAATCATATTTGTTTACATTTTATTATTTAGCATTATATGATAAAAATTTTTAATCGAAATAATTCCTTCATTGCTATATTTATTTATTTGCCAAATTTTTCTTCTCTCTAAAATTTAAATTGATTAATATAAATAAATTTAAATTTTTAATTAAAATATCATGAGTAAAAAAAAAAAAAAATATTTTTCCTCTACACATAAAAAATAACTTTTTTTTGAAATTTAAAAAAAAAAAATGAATGAAAATGAAATGAAATATTCATTAGACATTTGTTTATTTTATTAATTAATTTAATTAAAATATTCCAATATTTATCATCTTTATAAGGCAATAAATATTGCACTGTTATCGATTTATGCTAATTAATATAATTAGTTCCATTAGAGGTGCTAGTGTAAAATTAATGGTTTTTTCAAAATTTACTACTTCACTTGAAGAAATTGATTTAACTGTTTAAATAGATAGGTAGGTATACGCATCGTTTCATATTATCATAAATTACAACAACCATCTCATCACAGCAAATTGATGATATTAGAAATGGCATTTGATGTTTACAATTACAAATTTGCCTTTTTTTTTTTTAAATGAGTTTGAAAGAAAAAAATTTGGCCAAATTACAAATTACTTTTTCTTTTGAACAGTTTGAAAGAACTTTTTGTGTACATTTGTATATGTATGTGTGATGTAATATAATTGAAAGTGATTCAATAATATTTTATCAAAATAAAAAAGATGTGAAAATTAGGAAAAAAAAAAGGAATGAATAAAATAAATTAAATTTAATAGTTTTCTTTTCTTTTTTTCTAAAAGAATAAATTCAAATGGATGATTATTTATTTAGTAAGAGAAAAAAATAATTTAAAAAATTTGCAAAAATTTCACTAACTTAATGATAATAAGGAAAATAAAAACGAAAATTTTTAAAATTTTATTGATTCAATAGTAAAAAAAATTTACAGAAATTTTATTAATTTAATAATCAAAAGAATAAAAACAAAAATTATGAAAATTTTATTAATTTAAAAATCAAAAGAAAACAAAGAAGAAAAATACAAAAAAAAAAAAAAAAAAAAAAAAAAAACTGATGATAAGAAAATGAATTAATTTTTAAATAATAAATTTTGAACGCAAAAAAAAAAAAAGAAAAAGAAAAAGAAAATTTAGATTTGGATGCAATTTATCAGATCATCAAGCATGCGATGAATTATGTAAACAAGATTCATACTGGTATGGTCATTGTTCCATATGGGATGGATACGATTTCACTTGTTCCTGCTATCATTATAAAATACCGCTCAATGGTAGCATATGTAAACGAATGCAAAAAATATGCAATGAGTATTGCATAAAACGAGTAAGTTAGCATAAAATATTTCTTTTATTTTCATCTTTTTTTTTTGTTTTTTGAAATTTAAAAGATTTTTCATTATTATACAAAATATTACAATTTAAAAAAATAATATATTATAATTAATTTAAGAATAATATAATTTGAAAAAAAAAAAAAATTCTTCTTTAATTAAAAGGTCATAAAATTATGATATATTGTTATAGTGAAATTTTTTTTTTGTCATTTATTTATTGCAAAATATTTTGTAATTTATATATTAACATTTTTTTTTTTTTTGTTGTTGTTCAATATATATTTTTTTTCATTTCATTTATTTTTAGATATGATATAATTTGTTAATATATGGAATATGAATGGCTTTAAATTTGAGTATAATTTTAGCATTTTAATTTTCATCAGCAACGTCATAAATATATCTTATAACTATTTACAATACTTTTCATTTCTATTTAGTAATTAATTTGATGCAGAAATATTTTTGATGTTTTCTTTTTTGTATGAAACATTAAAATAATACCAACAAATATAAATACTTTCAATAATTTCTATCAATCTAATTGAATTTAACAAAGCTTAATTTAAAAGTTAACATTTATTTGTCAGCATATGAATAAATATTTTTTTCATTTTACTTTTTCATGCTATCCGTTCAATTTCATTTTATCTATTTTTCGAAATAAAAAAAAAACTCAAATTCTTATTATATTTTCTAATCTAATCACAATTAGTAATGAAATTTTCTTTCAAAAATAAAAAATTGAAATCAATGTGAAATATAGTGATGGAAAAAATCATCGCTATGCTAATTGATTAATGAAGATTCTTTTATCTGCCTAAAAAGCCATCTTATTCATCCATTAATTTCTCTAATCATCACAATTATCATTGATCATATCATAACATCATTATATGAATTTATCTTTAGTCTTATCACTACACGTATTACTTCCCTTCCTTTGAACACATTTTAGACATAATTCTAATTTTCATACTTCCTATTTTTCCATTTTAAATGGTACTTTCGAGAAGTAAAGCATCCAAGAAAACATTTCGTAATAATAATTAATGTGACATTGAAATTTTAATGTTTTTATTTTTTTTTTTTTTTACTTAAGAAAACACATTCAGCTAATGTTATTCATACCTCATTAATTTCTTCAAAATGAGTCACTGATATTTCTTTTATATAAATTTAGAAGAGAAAAAAAAAAGTAAGGAAATGTTTATTTACCGAATCAAAAAATTTATTCCCATTTCAACAGAAATAACTATTTAGGAATTTTGGAAATTTTTTAGAATTATTCATTCTTTTTCAAATTACACTCTAAAATGATAGAGTAAAAAGTTATCCAATAAATATGTAATTATGGATAAAACATTGAAAAAAAAAATAGGTTTAGTTAAAAAAATCTAAAAACTTTACCTATTCCATGTTATACTATAACAATTTGCATGTATGTACTTCTTAAAATTTCATTGTATCTATCAATTTCTAATCTTTCGGATATATTGTAAAATTTTACTATTACCTATTCATCTATTTAATTTTATCTTTGATCTAATAAATAAAATAAAAACATACAATGCATAAATACATTTGAATTTTAGAGAAACAAAAAGAAAATGAAAAAAAAATTGAACAGGCAAACAACTAGCTATCTGAATTTAATGATGATGATAACAAACAACACTATTACATTCATTTTTCTTTTCCGCTTTTTTTTTTCGCTATTTCTCTCTTTTTCGAAATGTGAAGCACATTTATCATCTTTCAATTAACATCAAAACAATAGAAAAAATTTGTAACGAAGTTAAAGGTGAAAATATTAATAAACATTTCATATTTTATGTCTATCCAAATTAACTGATAATTTATATAAAAACAATAAATAAACTTATTCGCAGTTTCATTAAGTTGTTCTTTTCCAAATTACATTTTTATCTCCTCTTTTATATTCTAAAAGGAATACAATAATATACTATGCTGTTAATAATTTTATCAAAATTAATATTATGTTCAAACACAAAGAAGAAAATAGATAGTGCTGTAAATATATGTGCATTAATTTTATGATATTTTAATATTATGATGCATTGCATAGAATGATATAAGAAAAAAGAAAAATATTCCACATTTCTTCTTGAAATTCCATAGTATCAATTTCAAAGATAAAACATTTATCTAAGCTAATATCTGCAATGAAACAAAATATCTTTTTACTATAAATTTTAAGTGTATCATAAATTTTATGACTGGAATTAATTTCTTTTTCGTTATAATAATAATCATAGCAATGATTTTATAGGGATTAGAAGGTGGCTACTGCTATGTGTATGCTTCTAGAACAGCTCCAAATGGAACAACTGAATGCAAATGTTTTGAAGAACTATTACAACCTGTTCGGTGATAACATTTCATTAATGATATTATGATATTAATACAAATGTTGTTCTATAGCAAGAATATTTTTGTTGCTATCATTCTGAAATGGGAAATTACATATTTTTGTGAGATTTTATTTAAAATTTCATCAAATACATTCTCTGCGTTTCAATTAATTAAAATAACAGACAATTCTTAATGAAATCGAAATGTTAACAAGTATTTCATATGTATAGCATATAAAGTACATTCTCGATGTTGCAGCTCCGGAGAAATTGACGAGCTGGTGCGTCAACCTAGAAAAGAAATAACTTACTTTAAAGGAAACAGCAATTAAATATGAATATTAAAGTGAAGTAAGAGATAGATAAAAAAAAAAAGAGATAAAAACCACAACAAAAGTGGAAAACCAATAAACCGTCTAGTTCAATTCTAAGTTCATGGAACACGTATCTTCATAGATTAAGGAACTATTGACAAAGAACTTGCCGGAAAAGCGAAAGATGAATGAATTCATTCAATAGAAGAATATGCTCTGGTCTGTGCCGTGATCCCGGCTAAAATTCTATGATTTCTTTTACAGCTGCATATTTCGCAGAACTGAAAAAAAAATCACTTACTGACCCCCATAATCACAGAAAAATATGATTAAACACCATTTAAAAAAGAACAATTTGTGATTGGAAAATTTTCAATAAGATTTGCAAAAACTCCGTATAAAACAATAGCAATCACCTCTTTCCCGATATGAAAGCACAGTTTCGTCACATTCTTGCAATAGAATTTTAGCCAGTCGGATATTCCGAATAACTTTCTCTCGTAGTTTGTCTTCAAATTTTGATAAACCATTTTTATGCGTTACTTGTATCGGTGCAAACTCTTTGCCAAGCAATAATTCGATATCCGAAGCATCATACTCCGGTAAAGGCACATTGTGAAGATTGAATTCTTCTTTACTATCCACTTTTACGATTTCTAACTAAAAATGAATCAGATACTTTTTATAATTATATCTAATCATGAAAGTAGATCTCACATGAATGTACTGAGTAAAAAAAAAAAAAAAGAAGCGAAATTAGTCTTACCGTTTTAAAAATGGCTAGCATAGATTCGACACGCAAATACAGTTCATCTAAATTCTCTGCCTTGGGTAATCTAAAAATAATCCATTTATTTCGTAATAAAAAGAAAATAATCCGAAAAAAATAGGACAACGAAAAGGTAGCTACAGAGCTCTTATTCATTTCCTTTAATTCTTCTCAAGTTTACTAACCAACACTGATGCTTACATTGTGCAAGAAATAACTTTAAAAAATTGAAACAATATCTTCATGCAAGTTATCCATAGAAAATTCAGCTATTCTACATCTTTTACAACTACATCATATTAAAATGTTAATACTATATTCTATACAAAAATTACAACATTCTTTAGTTAATATTCCAGTCTGCTATATCAAATAAGAAAATAAGTATTTTACGTAACTTCTACATTCCTTCACAATTGTAAATAACACACATGTGAAAAAAACGTTATAACAAATTATAAATTGAGCATACTTTTTGATAGTATAAAAAGTTTTTCTCAATTTTCTTTCTGCATTAATGAAATCCTTCTTCAATGCAGCATCCATTGGAGTATCACTTTCATATGAGCTATCTATGGAAGATTCAGCTAATTCACGATAATCATGAATAAATTTATCAAACTGAAAAGTATCATTTATTAACTTACAACGCAATATCATATTGTAACATTTCAAGAGTAAGAAAAAAAAAGCAGAGAAAAAATAAGCGCAGTAAAATACTTTCACGGTTCAAAAACTTGCCACAAAAAAAGCAAATTAAGAAAACACAACATTACATTCAAAACAGTGATCAATTTGGGAAGAAAAAAAGAAAAGAAAAGAAACCTGTTCCTTGGAATAACCTAATGAATCCATCTTTTTATCACAATCCATATCTTTACTTCCTTCTAAACTTTCTGCCATAATTTGAACTGTAAAATAAGTTGTAATTTAAATAAATGCAAATATACCATAATTAAAAAATTTATAATTAAATAGAGATAATTATATACGTGCACATAATTTAAAATACAAACTAAATTGTATTGCTGAATTTTTTTTAATTAAAAAAAAATTTTCAAACAGATGAAATATTGCATTGCAAAACATATGTGGGAAACACGTAAACGAAAGTAACAAATAAGAAAGTAAAACGTCTAAGCATTAACGTCGACCTCAAAATTACGTGAATACATGAGGAGGCCATACAATGCAAAATTTATTCCCATCCAAATAAATTAATCATCTTACTTTAGTACATTTATTAATTAATGAAAATTTTTAGAATGATTTATAAAGGATTAAATTAAATTGACGTATGCCATTATAATTTGAATCTTTCTTACTTTCTTTCTTTTTAAACTCAAATGCAACAACATTAACATATATAAATAGTTGAATAGATTTAATGATATAACACATTTGCACAAAAATAATATTCTTTTTATTAATATTATAAAAAACCATAACCAATTATCTCTTTTTATGCTTATATAGTTGAATTAAATCAATCAATAATGTATACAATCATTATTGATATAAATGATAAAACGTAATAAAAACATACATAAAAACAAAATTTAATTACCATATATTATCACTTTCATTGATTGCAGTAATATTCCCAGACATTGACACATTAAATACTGCTATTATTAAAGTCGAAAAAAAAAAATTTTTTTTTTATTTCACAATTAAAATAAGAATAAAACTTTTAATACTTCATAACTGATTGCTTATTATATGATAATAATTATCATATTTAATAATTATTATATCTCATTCTTGTTTTTCTTTTTTCCAAAATATATTCCTCATTACATCATCTAATTATTTTGCTATTTTTGTGTAGGTTATTATAGCCAAAAAAAAAATTTTTTTTTCATAATTAGAACTCTTTACTATTACATGATCTAATTATATGAAGGAAGATTTCATATTTGATTTCGATTAAATTTTAAGTGATATCACGAAAACATTTATTTTTCGATATATATAAAGATAATTAAGATAATGTGATGCTTTGTAATAATTTTAATCATTTACAGTATATGTTTATACAAGTTAAAGAAAAAATTTTTGATCACATTAGTAAAATGATCAAAAAGGAAAAAAAAAAAAAAAAGAAAACAACTAACAAAAAAATTACGATAATTTAAGATAATTAACTTTGGATTGTGATAATCTATTCAAAAGATTATAATAACGAAGTACTCTCTGTAACGCTTTGCAAACGTATTCTGTAACGAATTGTTCTTTCACGTGCGTCGTACGTTTCAACACGCCAATATCAAGCAAAAATTCCACAACAAAATCATAACAGTTCCAATTCCTTTTGTCATAATACTGCAAATAAATCATATTTAACAATAATTTCATTATTATCATTCATTTACTTGTCATAATAGCATGCTTTCCGGTAGTATCAAAACCGGAACCACAATTTTAAATTCAAAATATGATTCTACGAACTCTCTCATTAATATAACTTATTTCATTTTATCATGCTTCAAGTTTCTAATAATATATTTCTTAGTATTTCACCGCAATCGTCAATCTCATTGGAAAATTGGTCAAATAAATTTCACTAATATTTACAATTTCAACTTCATTTCTTCTTAATATCTTTTAAGATATAGATGTTTCGAGAAGAAAAAAAAGAAGAAATAAATGAAAGTGATTTTTTTTTTAAATTTCTTTCAAAATGGATAATAAAACAAACTTGACGGCTAAATTGGCTGTGGTACTTCTTAACAAATGTTTTCATCCTTTTATCATACATTTCGTTATCAGCGAATTGATAAATACATAGAGAATCATTCCATAATGATTCAATTATTATGCCATTAGTGGTATAAGAGAACACGAAACCTTTTGAATTCGATAAACCAATATGAAGATCATCGCCCAGTTTATATCTATATAAATTCCAATATTATATTTAAATTCTTTTACTAGAAAAAAAAAAAAAAAAAACAAATAAAAGATTAAAATGATTACAAGAAAATTTCAAATAATTAATTAACTGTAAATATGTTATGAAACATTAAAAAAAAAAAAACAACAAATCTAATAATGTTAATTTCTTTTTTCATAGCTTATAAAATTTAAAAACAAACATTTCTAAAATTTTGAAAACAAGTAAAAAAGTGAAATTTTCAATTGTAATTAATGAAAAATGGATAGCATTATTAAAAAAAAAAAAAAAAATGAAAACTAACTTGTTGAATGAATTTACAGATGGCTTTAATAAAATACAGCAATGTCCAGTAGTTTTAGAACAAAATGGATTTGGTAGTAAAATAATTTGTGAATTATTAGGAGTAATTTGCATGGCACATTTTGGACATAATTTGCATTCAATAATTGATGATTTTGTTATGCAACACCAATCGCAGATATTATGTATCATAAGTAATGGCTTCATTATCTCTAGAATTATCAGTAATTGATCACTAGAAAAATGAGCATACAATGATGATAATAAGAGATAAAAACTGATAACTTCACCCACTCTCTCTCTCCCTCCCTTTCTCACCTTCTGATTTTTTTCTGATGTAGGCAATAAGTAACTATCAAAACATTTTGTAATATATCCATCAAAATTTTCCAGTTTTCATTAAGGTTTTGTTTCTCAATCACAACAAAATTGTATGTCACACACACACACACACACACACACACACACACACACACACACACACACACACACACACACACACACACACACACACACACACATGCATACAACACACACACACACACACACACACACACACACACACACACACACACACACACACACACACACACACACACATACACACACACACACACACACATGCATACAACACAGTCTCTTCTCATTAATTTAGAATAACATTCATTTTTCTTCAATTATTCATTTTCTATTAAATATCTTCATAATTAAAAGAAATCAGTCAGTTGGAAAATCAAATTAATCAGGAAGATTTTTCATTTATCAGATTCCAAGATTTAGTATCATGCGATAAAGGGAAAAGACGAAATTATTTATCATACTTGACATCTCGATGAATATCTAAACAAAAAAAAAAAAAAAAAAATGAAATCTCACTAACTACAGAATCACAGGTTGGGCACATGAATTCATGCAAAGTTGATTTTATTGATGGATAATAATTCTTAAAATGATTAATTACAATAAACCATAACCCTAAAATGTAATATCAATAAATATAAATCCTTTATCGGTTTGACAAAAGAAAACTTTTCGTTTGGGTGTTTGTTGTTTGGTTGTACTAATTTATGTCTGAATGAGAATGAGTTCAGCATAAAACGCCGTAGATTAATGGATCGTTTAAAGTGTTAACAGAAAGTTCATCGATTCTGCTCAACAAAAGAAAAGAACTTTAACTGATTTATTACCAAAAATAAAAGAAATCAGGAAATATGGTTCCTGCAATAAAACACACAACTATAAAGACAATAAATGAACGTGACGATTGTACTCGATCTATAAAAGTATGCACAAGAATTAGAGATGAGAATTCTGAAGGGTGGTATACTTAAAGAGAGATTGTATATATATGTAACTTAAATAATAAATAAGCTTACATATGTCAAGAATAGAAACAATACGACTAATGACATTTTCATTTTTATCACAAAGTTTTGGAAGATCGAAACTTTTATACATAAGAAAGACTAAAAATATGCAACTGCAAAAAAAAGAAATTAAGCTTAGTGAGCAACTTCACAGATTTTAGTAAACTTTCTATAGCTGGAGGCCACGTCACAAAAGTATTGATCAAATCAAAAAAACAAAAAAACAAAAAAAAAAACGGAATAATGTAAAACACCGACAAATCTAATAAGGCAGTCTCATATAACTGTTATATTAACTTGAATTTGGCTTATAATTTTTCGTTACAATTACAAAAAGGTTAATACACAAGTACATATAAAACATATAAGTAAATATAAAATATATATTTGTTTATTTATTTAAGTAGTCACAAAATGAGTGTTATATTGATTATACCTAATGAATGGGCCATGTGTGATGACAATTTGATTTTTACCTACAAAAGTAGTATGATGATGAAGATTTCAACATTATTCAACGTTATCACTGCATTATTTCTATATATCATATAAATCCTAAATAAAATAAATATCGCAGGAGAACTCAAATGTGCTAATTACAATTACCATAATTCTCGCATTGATACAGAAGACCTTCATAATGTACCATCTTATATCCTTCCGTATCGTAAATAAAAGTAATGATTTCCAAATTTCTTCAAACATAAAGGGATGAAAAAAAAATTATTAGCATCAATATGTTTTGTAAAAATGATCTCTTCATGCTTATTTTACTGTCATATGTTAAACTGAAAAATATTGTACAAAATTTAGATAAAGGAAAAATGTGAAAAAAAAATACGCCAATTTGAAAAAGCAGGAAGTCATGATTAATTCACATGCGGTACTGTCACTAAAGCTATTTCATTCGATGAATCATCATAGTCGTTATCTGGAAGGTTTTCTTTGATATGCTTGGTAAATTCGTGCTTCCTTAAAGCTGAGCTGAAAATTTCCTGAATCAAAAATCTGTTCAACAAAAAAAGAAAAAAATTAAGGCAGCTTTTTAACCTCATAAAATGAGCCGATAACCAATAGTTCAAACAACTTTTGAAATTTCTTGATTTAAATAAAAAAATATTAGAAAAAGTTTTGCACGCAGTAAAATTGATGTGATCAAAAAAAGTATTCCAGAAATTTGCCACAATCCTACATTCCGAATTAGATCCAATCTGTAATTTAATTTTTCTAACCAAATCATCAGAAAAGATTTGTTTCGAGATTCACATATCCATGAAACAAATAATGAGCCAACCGTGCAGCTCAGATTCGAACATGATTTATCAACATGTGCATTCAGCCTCATTATAACAGCATTTCTTTCTAATCTTTCATCACAGCTGCGCGGTTGACAGGAAACAGAGCAATTTACCTGTCCCGAAATTCCTTGCCGCATATTGAACAGCTAAATGGTCTTTCACCGGTATGTGATCTTATATGAATTGTAAGAGCTTGCGATTGCGTAAAACCCTTACTGCAGTAACCACAAGTATACGGGCGCTCACCGGTATGCGTCCTTTCATGGATGTTCTATAAAGTTTCGACAGGGGATGAACATTTGAAATTATTATAGATCATAGGAGGCTAACCATTTCGGCTATTTTATACTTGATGAAATATTAGCACTTAGAATATAATCAGTTTCTATATTTGTCACCGAAATATAAACAAATAATTACTTCTAACTGTATAGAGCATACAGATCTACAAAATATATAATTCTTAACGAAAAAGTAGAATTCCTAACCCCCAACATTTTCCATCTTAATTTCAAAGGAATTCCGAGTAAATTTTAATTCATTTTCTTTAGTATTAATAGAGATATTCAATAAGCAATAATTACCTTGTCCCTCCGATGATGAAACATTTTATCGCAATAATAGCAACGATATCTTAGTGGACGATCAGTTAGCACGGGTAAACCATTCATCAAAGCAAAACATTTTTGCTAAAATTTGATCAAATAAACGTGAAAATGGTAATGAAATGTTTTTCATACTTAACTGGTCTCCCAAAAAATGCATTGCAGTTATCTCTAGGAGTCAGATAAAACTTAGATTGGAAGACAAATCAATTGACATAGTCCCTCTTGCATACCATTAAAATATTTAGACTGAACCCAACATCACTGTTTTTGCAGAGTTTTCAAAGAGTCTTAAAAACTATGAAAGCTTTATCAATAGAACCTTGCCGATCATTTTTAACATCGATACCAACTTAAATATGTAAAATATTTGAATAAAATCTGAAATAACACATACTGCTACAAAAGGAAGAAAATATTTGTTGTTGTGGAACTACTGCAGTAATTTTTGAATCGTAACATTACTTTTGCATAATTATTTATTTGTTACCTGATGTTCAGACATTAACGACTGTGTCCTGAACCATTTACCACATAAAGAGCAAAAATAACGACGGCCACTTGCATGAAGTTTCATATGTATACTGAAGTTCACTTGACGAGCGAAACATTTTGTACATATCGGACACTGATAAGGTCGTCCAGCTATAAAGAATTATCATAATGAAGAATTTTGTACGTAATGTCTGATAAAACTGTTTGGAAACTAAGCGTAATTTATGATATATTGAAATATACACTTACGTTTCTCTGACTGACTGCTTTCATTCTCCGTAGACAAATTTTTTCTCTTGCAAAAAAAATCAAACAGAAACACTAGTACTTACTGGTATGAGTTTTTTCGTGAGCTAATAAGGGTTGTTTGTGAGCATAAGCGCGTCCACATATTTTGCACCGGTAGATAAGTCTATCAAGACCAATGTCATAATCACTCCACAGGGTACTTTCACCAAAAGAATCGTCCATTTCACTCTCATTTTTTTCATATATCACATCATCAACTGCAAAAATACTTTTAGTATAAACCAGTTAGCTGAATTTATGAAAATGATTTAAAAATATGAAAAGCATGAATTCTTTATGTTTCATGTATTACGTTATATTGGTCGAATAAGGCAACCAACTTCTTTTTTTTTTTTTTGCTTTTTTGATCAAATAAAACTAACCTATATGCATTTTAGGAGCATCAGTAACTTTAAATGTTAATTTATTGCTGCCAATCAAAATCGAAAATTTTTGCAAGGGATTTCGTCCTTGCCAACGTTCATTTTCTGTCATCTTTGATGGCCCAAGCTGGTTCACGGAATGCGAATTTTCACTCTGTAAAAACCATGATTCAATGCAAATCTTCTTTTCATAATAGTCATTTAAAACTGTTATTCAATCATTTTAGCTAAATCTAATGGTAAGATTAGTTTAGAATAATATTCGACTATGATTTTACAACAAATAAAACTATGTAGAGGATATTTCATGTTATAAAAATATTTTTTACTTTACCTCAAAAGATTCCTGCAAAGCTTTTTCGTTAATTAATATTGGACATTCATCATCGCTTTCTTCTGATGCTATTTCCTGGAAAACAACAAATATTCGTTTCCAAAGATACGATCTACTGTTACTGAATCCTGGAAATATATGGAGATTCCTAAAGGATACTTGAATATGCTGATTTATTATTTTTTAAAATTCCATTTTGAAATACGCTTATTTGGTGTAAAATTCTACAACTAACAACAAACTTTCAAATTTTCCAAAATCCATACTTCAAATCTCGGAAAGTAAAACCTTTTGTTTAATATCACAAAATAAAAAAAAAAAAAAAAAAAAAAAAAAACCTCTTTTTTCCGAAAAAAAACCTTTTATCTGCTATTAGCATACAAATTCTACCTGATTCATTTCAGTATTGGCAATGACTGATGACGGTTCGCTAGAAACATCACTATCAATTATCACTGAATGTAGTTTTTCCAGACCAGATTTTGACTCTTCTACCATAATTTTGCTGGATTTACTATTCGTTAAATTCGTCTTATCTGAAAATTATTATATTATATATAACACTGTCACATACATGTAGCAGTGAAGTTTTTTTATCACATATATACATATAAGATTATAATAAACATATAAAAAATAGAATTAGTGTCGAGAATTACCATTAACTATAAAACGTGACATCATCGTACGTCAATTTCTAGCAGTAAGCATTACGCATAAATGTGAGAGAAAGAAAAAAAACAAATGGCTAAATCTTAATTCAAAAATCCTAAATAAATTAAACAATGCAAAATCCATTGTTAAGGATCCCCAACTGAAGTCTTCTAGTTCTCTGTCCTTCATCCAACTAATCGTGAACAGCTCTCGTTCTCTCCGTCTCTCACTGCAGCATTCAGTCTCACATTAGATATTGCGTATTGTTCTCTATTCTGCTCCATTATCTTTAACTGTCTCTTTCACCTATCGTGTACTCTTTTGTTATTATATCGATCTCTAGCGCTTCTTCATTTTCATTGTTTCTCTAATTCACCATATAAGTATTTTATTCTTTTCTTCATATATACCAATGGAAAAACGTGAAATGAAATACGTGAACTTTGAACTTTGAACTCTATTAGAGATAAATAATGATATTAATTAGAGTTGCATACATGTAAGACGTTGTTTCTCACATTGTTTGATAACATACAAATAAGACATGCATGGGTAGCATTCAGATAAGATACCCGAACAGTTACTGCAGTGTTTGGGTAGTGAGTAGCTAGTAAGTAACAATCATTTTTCACGTATGTTTCAGATAAAAGGGGAGAAAGCGCTGTCAGAAACGAGGAATTGTGTCATCTGAGCAATTGCTATGACAGGGATAACTTCTATTCTTCATTCAGCAAGCACATCACTTTAGTCTTGAACTCACCAGCACTTAACTTATAAACCAAGTTAAACCCACCACACTATGAATGCATCGTCCGCTCCACCCTGACTGACGTCCAATTTGAAGAGTATGACAAGAGCGCAATTGCAATACGTCTAATGGTTTCTCTCGGATATACACTCAACCTCAACCCAATCTAATCGTGCTTCACGCGAAGACACGTGATTTCTCTCGGATATATGTGAATTCACTCAGCCTCAACCCAATCTAATCGTGCTTCACGCGAAGACACGTGATTTCTCTCGGATATATGTGAATTCACTCAACCTCAACCCAATCTAATCGTGCTTCACGCGAAGACACGTGATTTCTCTCGGATATATGTGAATTCACTCAACCTCAACCCAATCTAATCGTGCTTCACGCGAAGACACGTGATTTCTCTCGGATATATGTGAATTCACTCAACCTCAACCCAATCTAATCGTGCTTCACGCGAAGACACGTGATTTCTCTGGGATATATGTGAATTCACTCAACCTCAACCCAATCTAATCGTGCTTCACGCGAAGACACGTGATTTCTCTCGGATATATGTGAATTCACTCAGCCTCAACCCAATCTAATCGTGCTTCACGCGAAGACACGTGATTTCTCTCGGATACTTCCAGTTTGATTTTATACTGCTTCTTCTTTCCTTCTTCCTTTACTCTTGTCATTGGTTTGTTTTCAGTAGAAATTGCATTCAATTTCATACAATTTCTAGCAGTTCTTTTTTTTTTACCTTTTGAATTCTAACTTTTATTGGAATTTAAAATTTGATTTACATTTTCACATCTAAATTTTAATATTTTTTTTTTGGATTTTTTTCAATTTTTAATATTGTCCACAATTCAAATCAAAGATAGGCAATTTTATTCCCCTCCCAACCAATAACTTAATCATATATGCATGCCAAAAATGCACATGAATTGTAAATTTTTATGCCCAAAATAAAGAATGTAAAAAAAAAAAAAAAAATAGAATTATTGAAGCTTCGATAGGCAATTATTGGTGTGATAAGAGAATCTGAAAATTATTTCACAAATTTTCAATCATATAATTAAAGATTTAAAACTTTAGGATGGAATGCTGACAGAGTTTAATCATTTTTCTATAAGCATTCGTTAAATTTTTATCTCGAAGCAAACTTAGATTCAACAATGAAAGTTAAACTTAAAGAACAAAAAATTTAAGTGCTTTTAGTGCATTTTAGTCGCTTGGTAAATTCAAATCAAGAAAAAAAGATTATGCTTTTTAATATGTTAAAGGGAACGCAAAGAATTAATGAAAATTTGGATCGAAACGAAAAATTTACTAAATTAATTTCATGTTTACATCACTGTACTATAAATGATTGCAATAAATATAAATTGATGACAAAGAACACAATTAAAACATTGTCAAAGTGATGAATTTAAGTTTAAATTGCGATCCAATTAAAATGAAAGTCAAAATGAAAATTTTGCATGCAAATAAAGAAGCTATTTAAATAAGATAAAATTTTCTCGCATTTGTCAATGTAAATTTTCTGTATTTATTATTAATACTATTGTCATTGTCATTATTATTATTATTATTATTATTATTATTATTATTATTATTATTATTATTATTATTATTATTATTATTGTTAAATTATCAATTATTTAACAATTCAATTTATTTATTGCTTAAGATAACAAAATGATATGATTTCGAATCTTAGTTAACTCTTTTTTCTTTTTTTTTTTTTTTTTCAATATGACTTAATAAATGTAACATCAGCAATAATTTTTGAGACTTAATATATATTTGACTAAATATTGCGAAGCGTATAATTCTAAAATATCAAATTGTATGCTTCATTTGCCAAACAAATAGCAATAATAAGTATAATAATAGGCAATGATTACTTGAAGTATTTCACGATAGCAATATAACGTTAATTAGCTAACAACAAGCGATAATGATGATTATACGATGCTTACTCAAATGATACATCTAATCTCGTCATAGCACTTTTTTCTTTTCTTTTTTTTTTGCATATATAATTATAAATTATACCAAAATTTAATTTCAATATGCTACATCTACTAGTATTTGACAATTTATTTTCAAAAAGTTCCAATATTTTTCAATTTAATGTCTAACGTCTAATAGTTGAGTTTATTTCAAAAAGTTGAATGAAATATTTGTAAGGACCATTATAATTTGTCATTAAGAAATTACAATCATCAATTTATTACTTAACTTTCACTATTTAACTCTAATGTTAAAGTCTATTAAAATGTTAATGATAGCCATTAAAATTGAAGTCTTTTTGATTTATGCTATCGCATCTTTAATTAAATAAATGAGTTACTGACAAAAGATAAAGTAATAAAATTTGCAATTACAAAAAAGTGCAGTGTAGTGGTTTTACCATAACTTAAAAAATACTTCGCCATTAATTTTGCAATGAAATGAAAAAGAAAATAGAACAAAATTTATTTTAAAATTTTGCATTAAAATTTATAAATTTATTAAGTATGACAAGATATGTGCTCTGTTTCAGTTTATGTCACTTTTCATTTACTTTACATTTTATCGGGTGGAAAAAGGAAAAAAAAAGAAATAATTAAATTTATCTTGTAATTGACAAAATATCAGATCACAGATGATAGTAATAACAATTTGTAGTAATTAAGAGTAATAACAATTTTATAATTAGTAATAATGCTAATAATAATAATTATTATAAAATATATATATAATAATAATAAATAATGAATAATATAGCATAACTAAGTAACTAGGCTAATTCATGATTATTTTGTGACGTACTATCGAAATGATAATTATTAGTTTTTGATATCATTGATAATAGAAGATAAGTATATGATAATCCCTTTATCATTGAAATGTTGAAAAATGTTGAAATGTTAACTGATGTTGCCCTGTTATCTGAAAACAATGTCACCAACAATTTATCAGTGGTTTGTTGAAATGATAACGACAATTCCTTATCAATTTTAATCATTTCATTTTATTTTCTCCATGCATCAGTTACATTTATTCAAAAATTTTGAACAGAAACATTTTTTGCTGATATATTCATAGAGGTATGCAATGTCTTGTAATCGAATTCTTTTATTTATTTCAATTGTTAGTTAAATATTCCATAAAACATTTGTATTTGTTTTTTTTTTTTTTTTTCAATTTTTTGTAAATTTTAATTTTCGTTGAAATTTCAGAATATTTTTTTTTTTTTTGTTCGAAAATTTTTTCTTTTTTCGAAAAAAAAATCTTTTACCGTTTCAAGCATTCATTTTTACTTGTTTCTTTTCACATTATAATTATAATTAATATTCGCTTAGTTTACCAAAATGAGATTTATTGATAAATCTATTATTTTCAGCAGCTAATAATTAGTTTAATTAAATGTTGGATGAATTAGCATAAAGAAATTAGTCTAAACTAATAATGTAGTAATGACATCATTTAGTCTAGCGCAACAGTAATAGATGAAGCAAATGTCACAAATGGGACATATGCGCCTGAAGATTATGCAAGCTGTTTTCATTCTTATATTGGATATTCTTATCTTTCTGACTATGAAAATTATTAAAATTTATGCATAACAATGAAGATTTAATTACTAATTACATGCATTACTTACAATTAAGTTATAATTATATAAAATTAAATAAAACATTAAAAGCATAAGTTTAATTTTCTGAATATTTTGTAGATAATTTCTAAACATAATAAAATTTTGCTTCTAATTGTGTCATTTGTTTCTCACAATCTCATATAGTTCATATTTCATTAATTAACGCTACAATGAAAAAAAAAAAAAAAAAGAAAAAAGAAGTCATCGTTGTCATTCATTTGAAACCTGATTTTTCTTGTCTTTTTTTCCCTTTCTCTTTCTCTCTCCCTCTCTCTCTCTCTCTCTTTGTTTCCCTCCTTCTGTTCAATATAAATATTTCTCTCTCTTTTTTTTTTTTTTTTTTTACACAATAGCATTTGTCCTTTTACAAATTCATGGTTTTATTATTAGTCATAATGATTACTACTTTTTCAATCATTGATTTTGATATGAAATATGAGAAATTTTAAATATTTTAATTTTATTTATATTTCATTGTTTATTTAATTTCCTATATTTATCACTTATTTATTTATTTATTTTTTATTTTGCCCTGTTATTTACTTGTATTTATTTGTTGTTATTTGTTTGTTTATTTGTTCCTTTAATGTTTATTTCACTCATTATATTATAATAGATTTATCTTGTTATCTTATACAATTTTTATAAATAAATTTAAGCAAAATTTTTTTACAATTTTTTTCAAAAAATAAAATTCAACGTTTATTTATAAATATTGCATGGATAAATATAAAAATATGAAAGCTAAAGCAGTCAATCAGTTTGGGCTGTTTATAAGTATATTAGATGTTTAGCTATTATCAAAGTTACTCTAAGAAAGCTAAGTAATGGAGAAAGAGAGTGAAAGTTATGACAGAGAGAGAGAGAGAGAGGGAGAGAGAGGGAGAGAGGGAGGGAGAGGGAAGGAGGAAGAAGGAAGAAAATAGAAGAAGAAATTAAAGAATTGATATTTTTTTTCTTTTAATTTCAGTACCATATGGTTAGATGAAAAATTTCTCATCCTTTATCATTAATGATTGATTTTTTTGTTTATTTCATATTTTAATATTTTTGAATTTTAATTTAAATACAACATTAACTTTTATTTATTTTGCTACATCAATTCAACATGTTTATTTCAAAATTTTTGTCAAAATTTAATTTATTTATCAAATAAACAATTTTTTCTCTTTTCTTTTTCTTTTTTTTTTTAAAAAAAAAATTCTAAAATGTTAATTTTTCTTTTATATTCGTTATTCTCAGTCTAAAAATAAAACATAAATGATTATTGATTTTTTTTATTCATTTTTTTTTTTTAAAACTTTCTAAAAAATTTTCATAACTTTAAAAAATAAAAATAAAGAAAAGAAATAGAAAACGAGAAATTTGTTTTCTTTTCATCATTTCACTGCGAAACACATTGACAGAAAGCTTTTTCTCGACGGAAGAGCAAGAAATATCAATTTTTTCCAATCTGAAAAAAATTTTTTCACTTTTTCTTTTCAACTTTACGCTTTCTTAGCCAATTAAATAATGATTTTGCTTAACAATGAAGTGAGAAAAAATTTTTTCACTTAAAAAGCAATGCTATTAGCTTCTTTAGATCATTCATTTTACTAAGTAATTCCCATTTTTCTTATAAGCTTATCAAATATTTTATCTAATTATTTATTTATGCATATTAGCCGAATAAATTTCATTTTTTCCTGTCTCGAAAAATGATCAGATAAATAAATTTTTATTTTTTATCTTGCAATTTTTTTTATTGGTATATTTATCCGTTTTTTTTATTGTTATCATATTTATGAATTATTTGAAATGATTATTTTGTTTAACTTTTTAAGGTGTTGTTTCTTTTTAAATTTTAAAATTAAACATTTGCTTTTTTAAAATATATACTTAAACACATTGTTTTTTAAAAAAAAAAATTTTAATATATTTAAAAAGTGTTATATTTTAAATAAATAAATCAATGTTATCAATCAACCAGAAATAAGCATACAATTAGTATGAAATTTTTATTAAATATTATTTAAATGAATAAAATATTATTGATTTGGTAAAGATTTCAATTAAAATTAGCTAATTTTATATTTTGTTTATCCAAACAAAAGAATTATTCTATTGAATAAATTTAACAATCATTTCACTTATTTTTCATGCATTTTTAGCATCAAAATGTTTAAATATGTTTTTCATTGTTACTTCATTATGCAAAATGATGCGCAATTGTGCGATGTTTACTTTTCATCGCTTACATCGCTCTATTTCCGCCTTTCCATTACTCTGCTTGTTATTTCAATTACTTCTTCCTCTTATTTCATTTTATTTTATCTCATTTCATTACTTTATTTTTATCATTTCATCCATATATTTCTTCAAAAATTTTTTTTCCATATTTTTCACATTTTTCTTCTCAACAAACAAAAATAGTTAAAGTTATTTTGACAAGCTATAAAACTTCATAAAAAAAAAAAAAAAAAAAAAAAAAAACATGCTCATAAAATTTCTTCAATTTTTATTTTTCATTTCTCTTTTCGTTTCAGTCTTTTTCATCTTCAAATATACTTCTAATTTCTCTCTCTCTTTCTGTTTTTTTTTTTTTTTTTCATTATTATGAATTATTTTTAAAATATTACTAATAATTCAATTAAAGAGCAAATTTTAAGTGTAATTAATATCATTTAATAACTTTACTGCAATTTATATTATACATACTTTACTATAAGATTTAATTTTTTATGTGTATTTTAATATAACTTTTTATATTATATTATATATATATATATATTAAAGTTTCTTATTTTGTTTATATATATTTTATTGAAATTTTTTATTTTAAATATATACTCTGATAGCAAATTTTTATTGTAGATATAATTTTTAATATATTTTTTTCATTGTTTCCTTGAAATAATCGTTTCTTAATTTGATAAATTATTCTGTACATATTATCCTATTATTTTCTTTCCTTTCCTTTCTTTTTTTTTTTTTTTATTTTTTCAGAAATCAATAAGGAAAAATTGTAAAAATTAATAAAATCAAGTACGAAAAGAAAAATGCCATTGTTTGAAGGATGTTGTTCAAATCCACCCATTGATCGAAAAAAATCAACTGCATATATACCATCTACTTATCAATTAGGCGAGTAATTTTTAAGTTTTAATTAATTCTTTTTTCTTTTTTTTTGGATAAAGAAGTTAGTAAAATAGGATATTTGTCTTGAATTATTTTGCTATAACTGTAATTATTGGTGGTAAATTTAGATGATAAATATGAAATCAAAAAACAACAACAACAACAACAAGAGGAGAATAATTGTCAGCCCATATCACCATCAACATCTGAACATATGGTAAAAGCTATTTGAATTTTATTAAAATATAACTGACTAATTAATTTGATTATACAATTAATGCACAGATTATTTAATTTGTTAATTTTTTTTATAATCAATGATAATTTGTATTTGTAATTATGAGTAAATCTTTTACTTCGATAACAAAATTTGATAATATAATTTGTTATTCTTTCCAATAAAGAAATAACTTGTTTTTCTAATTTGCTCTATAGTTTTTATTTACCTTCCATCTATAAATGATTTTTTTTTTTTACACCTACAATTTTAATTTAGAATGAATAACTTTGTAATTTATCATTTATTGTGTTACAGAGTTTTGAAAATCATTTGAATTTGCGTTGCATAATTTTTTTTATTACTTTTTTCTTTTAATTATTGTTAATGCTAATTTTATAATTATATGATAAACTTAAAAATTATATGATAAACTTTAATTATATGATAACTTTATAATTATACGATAAACTTTTAACTATCTTCCTGCCATTTATCATATAAATGGCAGGAAGATAGTTAAAAGAGGATTAAATTTAAAGGTAAAGAAGAGATTAAAAGTATAAGTTTTCTTTTATAAATATACTATCTTATTATGCATCATTATTATATAGTGATAATATGATAAGGCACTGATATGATATAAAAATTTCTGTGCATCTTATCCAATTACATTTCATCTAATTGTTTATATTTTTTTTTTATACATCTTTCTTTTTTCATATCATAAACAAAAAATTTTTTAAAAACTTTTTTATAATTTTTGATTTACTCTTTCATAACAATAATTTCAATTTTATCGATCATTTAGCTGAAATTATGGGTAAATGTTTTACTTCCAAATATTCTTAAAACAATATTAATAAACAAAAGTTAATAATAATTCATGAATTTATGAAGTAATTTTTACAGCGATTTATGGTTATATTTGTAATTGAAATGGATCTGAAATGAAAGAATATATTTGAAATTGAAGAAAAAGAAATTATTTGAAATAGAAAAAAAGCGATGAAAATTAAGCTTCAAACAAAAAAAAAAAAAAGAAATTATGACTAAATGTTCAATGATCAAACTCAATATGCTAATAAGAATGTAATTTAATCATATTGTATTTAAATATTATGTACAAAAAAAAAATTTTCTTTCATTTTTTTATATAAAAATAATAATAATAATATCATTTAATACTTCAAAATGTTATAGTTTTTTCATTTGTTATCACAAATTTTGTTTCTTTCGTTTTTTCTTTTTTTTTTTTTGCGTTTTTTTATTTTTTTAAAATACATTTTTCTCTTTTTTCCATTTCAAATATATTCTTTTTCTTTCTTTTTTCTATTTCAAAAAAAAAAAAAATAAAATAATAAACGAAAGAAATGAAATATACGTTATTGTCAAAAAAAAATAAATAAATAAAAAAGAGAAAAAAAAAAAAAAAGAAAGAAAGAATTTTAAGAATTGCTTTCATCGTCTTTCAGTTATTTGCTTTATTTTTTAACTTTCTTTTTTTCGTTTATTATTTTTCTTCCATTTCTTAGTTTGTTTTTTCTTTTTTGTTTTCAATCAAGTAAAATTTATTGTTTAACGTCAACATTTACTGAAATTTTTAAAAAATTTTCCGATAATATTTTAATCTTTTTCAGCTACCAAAATCGTTGCATAAGAAGAAGAGCAGTTGTTGTTCACATGGTAATGAAAAAAATTGCACAGTTCGATTTAATGAAGGATTACTAAGTAAGTGAAAAATGATAGAATTTCATTTTTCTTCTTTCTTTTCTTTTTATTTTTTTTTTTTTTTTTTGTTTTTGTTTTCTTTTTTTTTTATTTTTGTTAACTATGACATTAATCAATTTAAAGTGACAATAATTGATTGAAATCGAAAAGATTAATAAATTTAAATGTTTAAATGAATTAAAATTGAATGCATTCATTTTATGGATGGTATTATTGATTAAATTTATTTTAATATTTCTACTTTTTAATTATTATGAGAATGATTAGTGATAAAAGAGAAATAATTAATGCATGATTAATTATGTTTATTGATTAAAATAAATAATATAGAGTTATTCGTTAAGTTTTCTGATTGGAATAATTAATGTTGAATTTTTAATTAATTTTTTTTAATTGATATTTTTAAATTGAAATTTTTGAAGCTGGTTCAACCGAAATGCTTAATGCAACAAAATTTTATCAGAATTGTGCCAATGAAGATACGGAAAGTCATTGGATGGAAATTTATAACGAACAAAAAATTATTGAACAAATATCATCTGGTACCATTTTTTTGGAAAATAATAAATTTATAGTATGAAAAAAGATGAAAAAAAAAAAAAAGAAAGAAAACGATGAACAGTAAATCTTTTTTAGATTATCAATTATAAATTATTTTTTAATTTAATTTGCAAATGTTTTCAAAATTTTCCTTTTTTTTTCCAAAATTACATATTTTTGCATAAATTTTCCTCCTTCAATTTATTCCCTTTTTAGTTTTTTTTTTTTTTTTTTTCTTTTTTAAATTTTTTTTTCTGTCTAATAGGAAATTATGAAGAAAATGAAGTAATTGCTCCAAAATTATCAATACAATCTACAGTGGAAATTGGTACACCAAGGATGGATAACAATAATGCATTTTTAGGTAATTAATGTATTTTATAAAAATTTAAATTTTATAATTTAATTATCATCAAACAAATATTAATTTTTCACTCTATCTTTAGCTATACGAATTTATAATAATTTTATAAACATAACTATTACTTTACTTCTTCTATAACATCATATATTTAATGTATGTATATCTTAAATTTTACTATAGACTTATTTTTTTTTTTATTATATATTTAATTTACTTTTATATAAAATTTTTTTTTTAGCGGCTAAATAAACAGTAGTTTAGAAATGAAATACAATGGAAAGTTATGTAATCAAATAACTTCACAATTAGATGAAATTGAGTTTTTTTTTTTTTGGTATGAAATGAAATCTCAAATATTTTCATTTTATTTATTTATTTTTACTAAAAATATTACCAATCAAAAAATCACACAAATATCAAACTATCCTTATTGCTATGATTAGTTTTGTTTTTTTTTTCTAAAAAAAAAAAAATAACAATAAAATTAAATGTTTAATTTTTAGAAAGGACACATTCAGCTGAATCAAAAATAGATGGAAATTTCAATGGATATTTACAACGTTGTCATGAAATGGAGAATATTGATAAGGTTGCATATAAAGGATAAATGGATGAAAATTTTATGTTATTTTTGTCTAATTTAAAAAAAAAAAAAAAATCATTATAACTATTTTTGATTGTAATTTTTACAATAATTGTAAATTTATAAATTTAAAACATTTCGTGCTATTATAATTAATTCTCATATTACACATCAATCAGAGAAAATTTCAACTTAGAAAATAAATCCTAAAAGTAAATCAATCTCGAAATTATCAGTTTGAAAAAAAAAAAAAAAAACCGTTTATTATTCAATACATATCATTTTACTCAATTATATTTCTTCTCAAATAACATATCTAGAGTTTTAGTTTTCCTTAACATTCGCAAAATATTTGAGTTCGAAAAAAAGTGCATTTGAAATTGTTTTCCAAAACTAATGAAATGGATACAGTAATATTAATAAGCGGTGATACTTTCCGACAATTTATTTCTCTTTTTTGATAACAAATGAGTTGTCTCTCACCTTCTTCACTCACAAACATTACATTATTCGGCTGCTGTTTACAATTAATATTTTATTTCAAAATTAGAATTTCTCTTCAGTTTGAAGCTTTTGTCATATGTCATCCCATGAAGATTGCATTACTAAACAGTCTGTTATAAGGTTTTTTAGTTTATTATAAAGTTTTTTTAGTTCCTTATCAATCAAATACGAGTCATCTTTTACTATAAAGTTAATAAAGATTCTAGTTTACTTAAAGTTCGTTAATTGCTATTTTTAAAACACAATGTTTACTATAGCACCAGGAAGTATGTGTCTTTTACTAAGCTTCACTTTAAGTTTCACTTTTTACTAAGCTTCACTTTTAGCTTCAGCATCTTGCATGATGAAAAAGCTGGAAACCAAAAACACTAGTGTGAAAAAAAAAAACCTAAGCATATAGTGCTATAGTAAACATTATGTTTTTAAAAGTAGCAATTAACGGACTTTAAGTAAACTAGAATATTAACTTTATAATAAAAGGTGACTATTTGATTGATAAGGAACCAAAAAAAATATCGGTATGGCTATTGCTTTCAGTTCAACGCGTTCAAATTTCTCATTGGTAAACTTTATCTTCTTGTTCAATTCATCCACAAAACTTTTAAACGAAAAATGGAAATAACAGCTAGGGTCTTTAGTGAGGGAGAAAAGAATGAAGACAAACTTTATAAATATTTGTTGGGACTTATTTTTCTTTTTAAGCAGAACAACTCCACTTTTTCTTTTCTTATAACGTTTATCGAAAGTGTAACACAATGGAAAACAAAGCATTTGATAAAATGGTTCCTCCTCACTGACAAAACTTCGAAATTTCATTTCTCAATTTTTCAGGAATATGCTTCATTGTTTATTCCAAAATGCATTGATACCAGGGAAAGAGTGAATTAATAGAAACAAAAAACAACAATTTGATATCACCAAGTAAATACGGAGGAGAACACTGATTCATATGTTATTAGCGAACAGCAACCACCTGCAACATAAATTTTGTTAATTAATTTAATAATGCTCTACTTAAATACCACCAATAGCTATTACAGAAAAAAAAAAAGAATGATTCTGCAATAAAATTTTTAGAATATACTTTAGTATGACTTACTTTTTCATTTTCAAAACTAAAACTCATATGTATCGAACAGTACACGAGGATTTGAATGCGAATTACATATTCATAAAATGTCTATAAAAACTATTCGACAAAATAACAAACTTACGATATCATCAATTTTAAGAATAGAGCGAACACATTCAGCAGCTTGCTTGATTGCCGAAGATGATACCAGAAGCGGTTGCAACACATTTTCTTCTCTGATATCAGTAACATAACCCTGAAAAGCGATAAGCTGCTTGGTACAGTTAGTTTATGAGCGATATAGAAAAGAATAAAAATTACTCTAACAAACACATTAGTACCTTGCGAACATTTACTCCGTGATTCTTTTTACCATTTGCATGCTGAGCGCGTAACTCAGTAACCGTCGCTATCGGATTCAAACCAGCATTTTCGGCCAATGTATACGGAACCTGCTCCAGAGCATCCGCAAAAGCCTTAAAAGAAATTAATAAAATATAACAGAAAACTTTATCACTTATTTTGTACGGAAACTATAAAAAATATTTCGCAAATCCAAATTATTGGTATATTTGTAGTGTAGGAAAACTTTCTATAAATTAGAAAATTTTGTGAAAAATAAAGATAGTAAACGAACTTTCCAACAGTATTGCTCAGCACCAGATCTTTCCTGTGCTAACTGGCGCAGCTGCACTGCCACCTCCATTTCAGGTGCGCCACCGCCTAAAGTAGAATAGTTAGAAAAAACCAACGAACATAATCTGTTGTATTATAGTTACGGATTGCATATGTCTACCAGCAGTACATGGACTGTTACAATCGAAACATTTCGCGTTTAGGCAACACAAAAATTACTGGTTAAAAATAAAATTAATGAAAAATGATTTCGAAATATTTTGACAAACCAGGAAGAAGAGCTCTCTTCTTTACCAAACATCGTATAACGCAAAGCGCATCATGAATTGATCGTTCTGCTTCTTCCAATACTAATTTGTTAGAACCACGAATCAAAACTGAAACTGCTTGACCCGGGTTTTGCACACCAGTCACCTAAAAAACGATTTAATTCTTTGCTTCAAATATATAGTTTGTATTTCATTCTTCAAGCAGCAGTGAGCACTGACGAACAAAATGATACATAAAAGGACTTCATCCTGTTGTCATATCCTAAAAATAAGAATTAAATCTAGACATGTTAAGGATTACCAAATATGAAAATACTTTACTTGAATAATTTTTCCATCTCCTCCTGTCGAAATCTGTTCAACAAGGTCTGCAGAACCTAGTGCTTCGGGTACAAAATGATCGATTGATGCAATGGGACGACAACCCAAAATGCGCGAGTAAAACTCGATATCTTCTCTTTCGATATCTTTCACTACCATTATCTTCATTTTCGCCAAAAAATGTAAGGACATCTCATTTACCGCATCTCTTCAATAAGTAGTAAAGGTAACATTCGAGAAAGTAATCAAAGTCAACACATATATATACCATTTAACTTTCTTATAGAACCGTGACTGACATGGACTAGTCAAGAACTCTATTCACACCAACTGTCAAAACTACCTTCACTGTAAGAAACAGACGTAAAAAAGAAAAGCTTTTCAGTCTTTCTGCTATAGAATGCATTTTTTTTTTTTTGACAAGCTATCATAATTTTACCCCATACAAGAAAAAATCTCAAAATACCTGAGAATGCTTTTCTGTATAAGCAAAACATTACATCCTGCTTTTTTAATTTGCTTACATAGATCAAGCAAGTATGTCCGCTCTTCCTTTAAAGCTCGATCCATTTGAGTGTAATCGGACAAGATCACTTGATTTTCCATCTGAAATGATTGTCAGTAATAAATCAACAAATTAAAGAGCAAGCAGTAAGGTGGAAACCACAACAAATTATTTAAATACATGCGAAAGAAAACATACATCAGTTTTCGGTGGACTAAGCTGGAACTGAATTAATCCAATCTGAGCTTTTTCAACACGAGTTGGACCACCACGTCCCATGGAACGCTGATCAATAAGTGCGCCATCTACCAAACGAGATTCTTCAACAGTTTCGCCCACTTTCTTCACGATTTTAATCATTCGTAAATCAACATTATTATCATCGGCACTGACAATCTGAATTTGCAGAATTTTATATATGAATAAACATCAAACAATAATTTTTTCAAAAAAAAAAAACATTATTTTAAACGAATTTCGTCAAATTGAAGAGCAAGTTACTTTTTTAACAGCATTCACTGCCATAGGTGCAAGCAACCATGAGTGTTGAGATACAACCTAAACGATAAGACTATTTTAGAAAATAAAATAACAAGAATTACCAATAAGCAATAAGAAATAAGTTATCTTTTCAAGTATCTTGATAAGAATCACTACATCCTAACCCACTAAACTAAATGAAAACGGAGCTCCACTACATTTCCTAGAAAAAAATGATAAAATCATCTAAAATAGTAATGGCACTCCACAATTATAATTTCCGGCTTTATTCTATTTTGACTTTTTTTTTCTTCACAATCATGGAAACAAAAAATAAGGATTAATGAATACAGGAAATTACTTTAGAATTCAAACTAGTTGTGGCAATTTTTGCCAGTTGATCATCGTTGTCGAGATCGACAGGTGAAGCCATTGATTCCAAGATTTTTTCAGCCAGTACTGAAGCACGTTGGAAACTCTCCGAAATCGTAGTGGGATGGATTCCTAAATTTAATAGCTTAACACTGCCGTTCGTCCTTAACATCACCTCAAGCCTGAGAAAAGAAAAATTTTTTCATCTACCAATTTGCAAACTATTTCCTTGCTTTCGCTTTCTTTGTTTCCAGAACCATATTAGTATACAATTACCTTTGTTTAACAATTTCTCTGCCCCATCAAGCAGTGCGCCAGCAATAACAACTACAGTTGTAGTTCCATCACCAGCTTCAATATCCTGAGCTTTCGATAGTTCGACGAGCTAAAAGCTAGTTTTTTTCTTACTGATTTATCATAATTACATACTAAATTATTTGTGACGACAGTAATTAACAAATAAGCAGAATAGTACCTTATAGTATGTCGACAAGATAACTAGCTGTCAGTCATAATCTTACGAAATTCAAACGAAAAGTCTCGGAATATTTCGATTTTTCAATCAATTTTTACTCGATTAACTCGACTAATTACTTTACCCCCACTGATAATATAAAAAGTAGTTTTGGAAATCCCTAAGGAATAAAAGATGAGACAATTGCATTCTGAAGATTTTCTAATAGTTTATACAAAAGTTTCACCATTTTTGCTGCAGGATGTATAACACTCATTTGTTTTAGAATCGTTGCGCCATCATTTGTGATTGTTACCTCACCTTTTCCCGTTTCAATCATCTTATCCATCCCTGATATAGAGTACAATATGCAGTCATAGGCAGCTATTAACTTTTGACTGCCTAATTTTTCTTAAATTCAAAAGTAGTAACCGGAAATAATGATAACCTGGAAAAAATTTCCAGCTTCATTAAAGAAACTAACTTATCACAACTGAATTTAAAGTGGCAAAATAACCTTTAGGTCCTAGACTTGTTCTAATTGCGTCAGCAACAGCCTTTGCCGCAATAATATTACTGCTTCGTACGCTATCCGGCTTATCCTTGTCCTGTAATTACGATAAGTTTCTAACTGGTAAAATATAAAAAGACTTATTTCAACATAAATACCAGATATAACTGAAATTGCAGTTACACAGTCATAGATCATCAAACATGCTTAACCCTAGCATACCTGATATGACCGTTCTATAGCTAGCATTCTACAGGAATATTTCAAATAGTTTCCATGTCCAATGGTGATAATTACCATTCTAATTAACACTTATACAATTCATTATACAAACCACCTTGTCTTTCACCCTTATTCACTAATATACGGCAATGCTCCCCTATTATGAATCGAACTCAAATGGGATATATTTTCATCTTTTATCTCAAATATACATTACCTACAGCAGCGTTAAATATTCCAAACAGTGTGAAATTACTATATATTAGAGAAGAGAAAATACCTTAAAAGTAAGTGGTGGAATTTTTTCAGATGTATGTGATTGGAGCACCATTGCTTTTGCCATTCTTTCAAGATACTGATAAACGTACAGCGAAACAGAAACAGATTACTGTATCTTAACTATTACTACTATCAATACATCATATACCACTTATACCATTCATTTAACCCAGTCCTCCCCGCGATATACCAAACCCCAGACAACCCAAACACCCTAAACCTAGTCAACCACTACCGACCGACCAGCCACAACTCCACTAACTAACCCAATCCAACAATGCCTAGATTGTTCTCACCCGTAAAACCTGGATCGGCCATGATGCAACATAGATTTAACGGTTCGGGCTTGCACTTATTTACATCCAATTTTTATTGTAATTAGAAAAGCTAATGATGTTTACCGCTGAATTATTTACCATCCAGCGATACAGTTATATTTATAGGTTTTATTATTATTTCAAATAAATTACAATCAGTTTCTATGAGTTATGCTTGGTACGCCATCATTAGGTCCAACATCAATACCTCGAGCACCAGGTAAAAATTTGTTGATATTTAATGATCTTTTCTCAATTTCTCTCTTTTCTTATCATTGCAACAAGAAAAATTGTTTGCGGAACTTTGATGAAACAAAATAAAAATTTTATTTTAGATGTATGATTTTAGATTCTGAGGAAGTAATTCATTTTTTTCATTTATTATTACTTCAGAAGACGAAGATTCTCGAAATGTCATTGATCGTTTGGCAGAATTTGTGGCTAAAAATGGAATGGAATTTGAGGAACGTACAAGAGCTAAACAGTATGGTGATCCACGTTTTGCTTTTTTGTATGGTGGTGAATTTGCGGATTATTATCGTTTCCGGGTGATGCAGGAAATTCAGAAGTGTAAGAAATTTTTCAATATTTTTTAATTTTTGCATTAGGTGTTTTTGCTAAAGAGAAGCTATTAAATAAATTTAGGTGAAATCTTGTGGTGATTGCAAGTTCTGTTAATTTGATTTACGTGTAAACTGGAACTATGACCGTCATAATCAAAGGGCAAATTTATTCATTATATGCCTATGTTATTTAGGGCGCGAAATGCGGAACTATTCTTTAATTACATAGCGTTGCACGTTATGGCGTAAGTTGTAATTTATACAATAGATTCGTTCGTTTGTGATTCAAACGAATATTGTGGATTCAAGTTTTGGAACCTCATTATTTGAATCCCTACTGGAATTATATTTCGACGTATTATCATCGTTTGTAAATCTTAGGATTGTTTTTACTAAATGTTCATCTTTTATGATTTCAGTAAATGATGGAAATCCGACTGCAGGTTTAGTTCCTCCGCCAGCTATACATGTACCACAATTTGACGCAAATGCAGCTTTGGCTCAAATTGCAACTTTCAATCAACAGATTGCAGATAGTGAAGCGAACTTAAGAGCCCAGTTTGACTCCATCGAATTGCAGAAAGAGGTAGTGAAGATAATTTTATTCTTAGAATTGTTATTATAGTAGGATTCAGTGTCGATTTTAGTGTGTAATTTCCGTACACGGATACATTGTTCTTATTGAAATGGAGCTCGTTGCATTTCAAACTGTTACCGGCAGCGTTTTTTTTTTTTTTTTTTTTTTTGATTTTATATTACTGGTTTTCTTCTCGAAAATCTCATTGGAAATTATTGTCTCTGGCTTTAGGCTCAGCTTGCTACAGCAATTGAAAAAGCTGAAGCAGACAAAATAGCATCTATATGTGAGCAGGTTGCTCTTGATGTTGATCCTCTTTCGAAAATGCTCGATCAGCTTAGTGGTCACTGCAGTAAAGATGTCATCTCGGTGTGTTGCATTTTATCACGTGCATCCTTGTTGCAATTAAATCTCAATTGTCATGTATTGGATTGCTTTCTTTTTTCATTTTCAAAATCCAAAATTATGTTTGAGCTTCATCATTTCTTTGAATTTTCCAGAACAGCAAAAAATGGATATTTGAGAAATGTACAACCGATCGGTTGCGTGAGGCTATACTGATGTATCTACTTTATCGAGTGAAGGAGCCACGTGCTACTGAACAATTCAAACTTCACATTTTATATTTAATAAACGATTGGGCCCACCATTGGTTAGAACTATCAGAAACATATTCAACTTTAAATCTATTCAAAAGTTCAATATTTTAACGACTGTTATATTACTGATGCCTTGTATTTTGTAAAGTTAGGAAGGCTATGCATTTATCCCAAGATGTACTATTTGTGAGATTACATGCTTGTTACATTATAGGTGATTTTTCCTTGAAAAGTTTACACTGTTAGACGGGCGAGCTATTCCTAATCATTATAAAATTGCTCTTCCATTTAAAGGCTACTAAAATTATGGATACCTCCAAAACAATTATTGTGATCAGTTTGTTGGTTCTGAACCTGTCAAACTCCTACTACTTTTATCATTTATAAATTTGCATAGTTTTCATCGTTATTTATTAAAAATTTTAAAATTTAGTCAACGTAAAAAGTTGGATGCAATCCGACAAATGCTTTCGCGATATGTGCCACAACTCTATGCTTTCACAGCTCAGGGTGTTAAAGAAGCGATTGTGAATGAAAAGCTTGAAAAATTGGTTGGCGTTTGGGAAGGCCATAAATATTTTGATGATGGTTGTTATAAAGTATGTTTGTATTTGATAGTTGTTTGAAGCTTTGTCTTCTGCTTAAAGTGAACTAATAATAATCATTGTAGTATTTATTGTATTAGTAAAACAGTGAAATGAATCGAAATCGCCTTTATGAATTAGATTGGTATTATAGTCGTCATCACGTAACATTTTACGAAATATGTGTCGTAATTGTGAAAAAAATATTTATATAATTTCCAGCAACTGCGAAATCCACTACTGTTGTATCAAAACTGGAAAAATGCACAACAAGCGGAATATGCCAAGAAAGCGGCAGAAATTCATGCACAATTATTGGCAACTTATAAAGGTTACGAGCAACAGCATCAAGAATTTGCATTACATTGTAGGACGCAGATTGCTTTGCTTCAGCAACAGATTGAAGCCGAAAGGATAAAACAAAGTAAGCCTTGAACCATTAAAATATCTTTAGTCGAGTCTATAAATTTATCACAATCACTTATGATATGATCTGTTTGAAAAATTAGTTCAAAAATTAGATACTTTCTGATCTTTATAAGAACTATAAATCAGTGTGACATGAATCTTTTAGCAAATGCACAATAACCAATTCAGTGATTGTGTGTATATAAAAATTATTATTAGATAAATTTTTTGGAATATCTGGTATGAAACAAATTTTTTCAGGTATGCCTTTATCTGCATCAGGACCCGCAATGCCGCCGTTGCCACCTGCAGCAGCACCTGAAGGACCATCACCATTGAATCGCCGTGAACGTCGGTCACGTTTTGACCAGAAGATTGCAGGACCACCGCCAACACAAAATAATTTTGCCAATATACCACCAGAAAATGATTATGGTCGCTTTTTCACTGCTCCGCCGCCACATACGAACGTTCCATCACCTAAGGGTAAATTTGAAAATGATCGAAGATATTCTTGCTTAGACTTTTTTTTTGTTGCTTACAAATTTAGATTAATCCAAATATCATACGCATAATATCAAAACTGAGTGACAATCTAAGCAGTTATCTACAACAATTTAAAACTTAAATTTAGTGTTGTTAAGCATAATTCGTTTTTATCACAAAGCTGTTGCTGTAAAATCAAATGAGTTTATAATCTGGTATCTTAAAAGCTTATATTGTATCCAGGTGTCTTCAACGATTGTGGTTTTTAGATATATATCATGCTCGACCTGATGAAGATGATCCATCATATGTTATTTATGATGAAGACGAATTCAACAGTGGTTTACAGAATAAAAATCGCAAAAATGAGAATGAAGTTCAAGCAGCTCGCACACCATTTCGTGGACCTTCACAACCTGTCGTTTTTGGACCTCCACCGCAAAATGTAAGTGTGGTGCATTCCATATCAGTTAAAGTGTTGTAACCATATGTCTCCCATCTTTGGTATAATTCAGATTTTTGTGCGATGTTGCATGGAATACCGAGTTATGCATGGAATACCGAATTATAAAGCTTCCTTCATTTTCATTATCAGATTTATCGTTTTAACTGCATTATGGTTTCTTACAGGTGTTTGATGATGCTGCTTTAATTCCAAGCGTTCCTTATTATGAGTTACCTGCAGGCATGATGATGCCACTGATTGAAATGGAAGATGTACTGGTGACGTTTTCAGTTCCCGTCTTTATCAGTATTCGAACTAGCCTAATTTAAGCTCTTAATGTTAAATAATTTATGTGACAGAAAAGTAGAAAGATAATTCAGTTCTTTACACATAAAAGTTTTTGAATACTTTATTTTATATATTCCATTTAATTCACAGTTTTTTTCAGTACAAACCTGTCATAGTATCAAAATTGCGTCTTCCGCCTCCAATTCCACCTACTGAGCGGTTACTGCGTGCCATGGATGCTTTTTATGCTCCACAGAGCTTGGAAAATCAAAGAGACACGTGTGCTTTTCTAACATCCAATATTTATGCATAAGTTTTAAGTAAAACCTCTAAAATATAAAGAATTCCAAAAGTTGTGACATCTTTGGGGCGCACAATGAAAACAAGATGTGACTATTACATTTGCTTTATAAAAAGGGAGACTGATTGATTTGTAGATGCTCTCACTAACTGCATATGGATTGAAATCATTTATTCATTTTTTTTTTTTTTTTTTTTTTTCATCTTGACTTCATTTAGAGATGGCTGGGAACGCAACGGTTTACTCGAATATTATTCGAAGAAAAATGAAATAAAGAAAAAAGTGGAAGAGCAACTGAAAGAAGAGGGAAAAACATTAGAAGATGCAATTGAAAATGTCTATATCGAGGAAACTAATGAGGAAAAAGATGAAAAACGGAATTACAGACGTTCTTCATCAAGGTTGGTATTAATATGACTTACCTACTTCATCCCATTAAAATCTTATACACACTACTAATAAATGTAAATAAAATGTTTTTTAAACTTTGTAAAACATGGTGTTCGTTCGAGTGAATGATGAAATGGAATTAAAGCAGTGGTTTCTGTACATTTTCAAAGATTATTTTTTTATATACTCATTTGTCTTTACTTTATTTTTTTTACTACTTTATATTATCTTTAACATTTAAATCGATGTTTCTAGAAGCCATCATCGATCAAGTTCTTCGGACTCATCATCCAGTCGGTCGAGCACTTATTCAAGTGATAGATCGAGGAGACGATCAAGAAGTAGTCATTCAAGTGCAAGCTTTAGCTCTCGATCTCGATCTCGGTCTCGGTCCTTGTCACGTTCGGACTCAAGGTAGCTACAATAATCACTGTTTTTCTCTTCGGAGTTTATCATTTTTTAAGAAAATTTTAAACTTGCATATGCAATACAGGCGTCGTCGTAGCAGGTCTCGATCAGATTCATCGAGACGACGAAGGCGTTCTGATTCACGAAGTGCTTCTCCTGATATACGACCATCATTTGGAAATCCGAAGCAAAATCACAGTCGAAGTCCTACTCCAAAATTGTAAATGCTTCATTCTGATATTGCTGTATTTCGAAAATCTTCAGGGTTTATTGAGTAGCTTTTTCGGAACTTATTCATGTTCTATGATTACCTAACATTTTGATTGCTTCTCATTATTATTATTATGATTTATAATCACTTACGGTTTCACCGATGATAATTTTCCAGCATTCCACCATCTGGACCTCCACCACGATTAAGTTCTGCGAACAAAGGTGCACAGTTGTTAGCGAAAATGGGTTGGCAAGGTGGTGGTTTAGGTGCCGATAGACAGGTGATCTTATAAAACTTTTTTTCATTTATATATTTTTTTATTTGCGTTGGGAAAATCTACTTTCAGGGCATTGAGGAACCGATATCTGGTGGTGAAATCCGGGATGCTGTGGACCAGTTTCGTGGTGTTGGCTCAAAACCAGATATGTACGAGGAATATCGGAAGCAAATGAGTGGATATCACAAAAGTCGAAATAAGCGGGGTTTTGATTAGATTATGGACTTATTTGTATGCAGATATAGTCTATGTTTAACTTGTACTAGTTTTTTGAAATTTTTAGAGTTTTTAAAATTTTCATGAAACTTATAAGTTTCGAGATTCATTTTTGTTTTTTATGTTTGCTTTTATGTTGAAACACTCATACTTGGGCGAGATTTTAAGGTCTCAATATCAGAATTTTTATTTGGGACCTAAAGTTCAATGAATTTTTTATTGGGCAGTGAGAAAAGAAGTTGAGGACAAATAGTGAGGTATGCCAGAGGATAATAATTATTGGAAGCCAAAGGCTAATTTAATAGTGTATTGTAATTCATTCACTTTTTTTATTGTTACTGTTAATCTTATGTTACTATATTCATAAAATCATATGTCGCAATTACAAATTCAGAGTTTTTATTTCATTTGTTAGCTGACTAGCAAATTTTTATAATTATTTGGCAGAAATACTTAGCTGCTCTAAACTGTTTTATGTGGAACTGCAATACATCTGAAGAATAGTTCAGCAAATTCACCAAGTGTCAAGAAAGACATACCAACATAGAGGCCCAAAGTGCCACCAATGTTTGATAACAGATCCCAGACATCCTGTGATGGTGACTCGACTATTGACTCATAATTTAATTCCTAAAAGTATTCCGAACAGACCGGTTTTAGTTTCTTCTAAGAACTTATTAATGAGAATAAACATGCAGAAGATCAATGAGTAGATGGCGGTACTGTTTTAATGTTCGATTGGTTTTCGTATTCTTATTTGAATACTTAATCATAAGCGAAGTCAGAAATGAAAGATTTGGTTTCATGCTATATTAATTAAATGAGGTAAACAAAGATACTTCGGGTAATTTGAAGCGAGGATCTGGGTAAGATAAACCAAAGTGCTTCATGTATTATTTTCATAAATGTATTCTTAGATTAACAGTATGGAACTTTAAACTTACGAAGATTAGGCTAGGCTTTTATACTTAATAAATTTGTACTTACTTCATAGTAGACTTCAAGTTTTGCTAAATTTGTTCTAGCTTCTCGTGCTTCATGCATTGTTTCCATAGATGGAAACTGTCGTTCCCAAAGATCTTTGACACGATTATAATAGCTTGTACGTGGCCACAATGATGTGGTTACACGTGATACGTATCCTTGTTCGTGACATGGTTGTGGGCATTGTTTCTCGCAAACGCCACTGTTTGTTGAATTTTCCAGTGACTGAAATTTATAAAAATTCCAACATTTCAATTCCTATTTTTTACACATTCTAATCTAATTTGCATTTTTATTTGCTTCACTTCTTTTCATCCAAGTCAATAATTTAATCAAGCTTTATTTGCACTGGAAAAGTCATATTTTCAAAATGTTGCAAGAAAATTTTCACAATATTAACTTTGAAAAACAAATAAATGAAAAAAAAATCTATCTATCAAAACAATTAGATGAGTAAATGTATTTTCTAATTATTCAACAATACATAGTGATAACTATAGCAAGAATTATATGTCAAATTAAAATGATTTATAATATTATTATATCAAAAACAAATTGAATAGAAAAAAAAAAAAAAGATAAAAGGAAATTAACCTTTCTAACACAATCAAATTGCATTTGAAGTGTAATATCACATGCAATTGGTTGATTGTTATTTATACCATAAAATGTACGAATATCATCATGAGTGACAAAACTAGGATCAACACAATGACAATCCTATTTGAAATTATATATGTCTCATTATTATCAGCAAATCTTTTCATTCTATAATTTTTTTTTTTTCTTAATTTGAAAACTATTGCAACATTTCGAAAATTTGAAAAACAAGAAAGAATTTTGTTTTAATTTTTTATTTTGAAATGTTTACCTGAATTAAACGTTTTTGATAACATGATTTCATACAGGCTTGTGTTGTATAATTTATTAGACCAGTATATCCTATAGCTTTTAATGCTGTATGATATCTAAAGAAGAAAAAAAATTAAAAAAGAAAAAAAAACAATAATATAGTTATTAAAGTTTTTCAAAATTTTCCTGCACTGATAAATTTATGGACAATTTATATGCTTCGTCTGCTTGTTTGAACTAATAATTAAAAAAAATGTTAGGATCAAAAAAAATTTTTTTTATTTACAAATATTTAGTTTACCAGTTTAGTTTATCACTTAAAATTTTGCAAGAACTTTTTTAAAATTATTTAGGAATATTACTATATTAACATTTTCACTATTGTTTTTGTTTCAATTTAATTAAACCAAGTTAAAATGATTGAATTATTATTAGAAATACTTATCTTTTGTGATACAATGATGCATTTACCCTGAAAAAAAAAAAAAAACGAAATTATATAATTAATCACAATGTTTGTTTTCGAAAAATATACAGTTTATTTGAGAAGAGTAATAAATATTTGAAATCAATTAAAAGAACAGTATTTGCAAAAATTAATATAACAAATTTCTGATTAATCTTATTATGCTTAAAACCAATCATTATTTTTTTTTTTTTTTTTTTAAAAAATAAATTCTTAATTAATAAAATTATTTGCTAAGGAAATTTCGGTAACAAAATGTTACACAAACCATGGTCCATCAGGTTCAACGTTATTACCGAGATCACCACAATCTGTTCCATCATATGGTAATGGCATCCGTGAAACTCTTATTTGTTTAATCTTCAACAAGTAATTTTTGATGATTTAATAATTTTTCAATTCAAATTTTCAAATTGAATACTTCAACTTAAAATTATTTGATAAAAAGAAAAAAAAAAAAAAAAGATATGGAAAGTTATCTTAAATATCTATCAATCATTCACCCCGACAGATGTCATTACACCTGGTGATATCGTAAAACCTTTATCTTCCGGAAATGGAATGTATTCTGCAGGATGTACTTCAACCTGAAATTCCTACATATTATTGTAATTACAGTTAACAAAATTAGAAAATAAAAAAAGGAAGATTCGACTAAATTATGTTTTAGCATAAAACGGTTTCCGTATGAAATAAGAAGAAAGGAAATCGAACTTTAAAACCGGAACCCTGTGAATGTCTGACAAGATATTCCTTATCAGCAACATATAGTGTTAATGATAAACCATATAATGGTCCTACAAATCCTTGATATTGTTGACCTGTTGCTTGAAATGTATAACAATTACCATATATACCATGCTCCCATCTGAAATTATCAATTAAATTAACTTTTTTTTCTACTATTTAATTTTACTCATAACTTAATGAATTTATTTATAATTATGTTAAATTACTTACGCAAATACGTAATAACCCAAAAAAAAAAAAAAAAAAAAAAAAAAAAAAAAAACGTAAATTGATAAGCAAAGTACATGGTAATATTCATAACTTACTAACAGTTATAAATAAATTGATAACCTGGTGAAATTCTTTGCAGTACATTTGGTTGATTGATAAGTGCAATCAATTAACATATGATTGATATCATGTCCAGCTACTGATAAATTTATCTGAAGCGTTTAGGAATGAATAAATGGAAAATTTTGTAGCAAATATTGTTTTGATAGCTCCATTAATGATTATGCTACAATTTGTAAACAAAAATGCTACATTTAGTAAATTAAAAAAAAAAAAAAAAAAACAAGCAAAAGAAAATTTTGACTAAAATTAAAATCTTGTGAAATTTTTGGTGAAAAAGAAAAAAGAAAATGTTTTTTTGATAATTATAAATAGTAAACATTTTTTTCAAAAATGAGACGAAGATGTTTGTGAATAATGCGCATTTCAGGTGTGATATGTTCTGCCAAACGGTGTTGTTCTTCATAATTTTTCCATTGTTGTTCCGTAAATTTATGAAACTAAATTTTAATTAATCAATTAATAATTAAATTTTTTATTTAACTTGTAAATAGTTATAGTATTCAAAAAAAAAAAACTCATGCTATTTATAAATCTTTGCATCACTTTATAATGCACATACAATAATAATTTCTTTATTGTATCCACATTCCTTAATGTTCACTGTCTTATTGTTATTGCTCATTGCATTATATTTATTTTACACTTACATTATCACTTTTCTCAGTTTCATTATTAGATGTTTGTGAAAAAAATGTTTTCAACCAGCTTGCACGAATCGGATTTAAATTACATATGGTTACTGCAGGAAAAATACTATTTGTCATATGTCGTATTTGAATTGATACAACTGTTTGATATTGATAATACTTATCAATCGATATCCATATTTGATAAGTACAAATAATCCTGTAAATCATTTCATAAAAATTTTTGCTTCTGCTAAATATTTTTGCTATAAAAACATAATTATTAATTACCAACCATGCTGATAGTATTGCAGTAATCCAGAGAATTCGCATGAAAGCATTCTGTGACTTGCTAGCCAGAATGCAACCATGCGCAGATGTCGTTTCCGCAAAATCATCCAAGATGCGCTTTCGTTTACTGCTTACAAGAAGTTCAGAGATATAACTTTGTGGCATAATTAAAAAATGAAGTCGTCCATGCTATCTCATGAAATTATTTACAACTTTATGTAAAATTTACGTTTTATTTTCTCTTGTTTTTTTTTTTTTTTTTTTTTTCACTTTTTTAAATTTGTGAATTGCAACTAAAATTGCTGCTTCAACACAATGTTATGTAAATCATATCGATCTGACAATTAATGAATAACTTAAATAGGACATTGTTTATTTTATATTGTGGAGCAGCTGATAGTGATTAATAAATAATTATTTCTGCTTATGGATGTGCAATCTTGAAATTAAGTATACCATTAATTTTAACTAATCATTAGCATCACTGAAATAAACTGTTAAATTATGATTAATCAATCGCTATCAGAGTTATATCTCAAATAAAAATAAAATGATCAGAACTATATCAGAAATTTTAATAATTATACATCTATTTGCATATTAATATGATCATTTATAGTTATTGCATGCATTTTATCATTTCAAAATTTGTAATTTTAGGTATTGATACTCTTAAATTAATAGCAATGTAGAATAAAGTAAGAAATAAGAATGCTAGTAATAAATCTAGAAGGAATACCATAATTTTTAAAAGTTCAAAAATTTTTTCACCAAAAAAGAAAAAAGTAACTGGAGTGACTATAATTTCAACTAATGCCAAATAATAGCGATTTGCTTTCCATCCTGGAAATTGGAATCGGATGCGTTTTTAAGTGAGAAAAATTTCATTAAACAAATAGCAATTTCTTAATTAGAAAGCAATTGTTGTGATTGCTCAAATTAGATTAATGTCAAATGTAAAAGAAAAAAAAAGGACAATGTACAAGAATTTTCTTTCTACCAATGTTATTATCATAATTACCTCAAAAAATACACTTGAGTAAATTTTCATTAAAAATATCAAATTATTTTGATTAGAAACAAAGAAAAGGATTTTCTACTAAATTGCAACAGTTTAAAAAATGATTAAATAAGACATTAAAATGAACTCATTGAATCAAAAGGAAGAATTTTTAAAATAATGAATTAAAAAAAAAAAAAAGACCAAATATTTTTTTTTTTCAGCTTTTTGCAAAATGTCATTGTTGCTTTAATTTCACAAATTTGTTTATCAGTTATTATTCAAATTAACCAATTCATTTATAAATCACAATATTATGTGGTTTTTTCTCTTAATTTCATAAAAAAGAGCTCATTTTTGTTATTGTTAATATGCTTTTCCTTTAATTCCCGAATTAATATCAAACAAAATTTTATTTCAAACAAAATTTATTGCAATAAAATGAAATAAATCAATGGTTTTCATTACATATCATTTTCAATAACTGATAATTACACCTGATACACTGATAATGCACTTGATTTAATTAGTAAAATGTTTTTAATGAGATATTAGTAAGAAATAAACTTTTGATTGCATTGTAAAACAAAGAAAAAAAACTCAAAAATAAACAATGAATTGTTTAATGTGAAAAAAAAAAAAAAATGCTGCTGGATGATACGGTAGAAATATGTTTGTGAAAAAAAAATTTTTTTCTAACATAAACTTTTTCACCATTTGCTGTTATATTCAAAATTTTTGCAATGATTATCTACTGTATTTTCTTACTGTAATTTTCTACAGTAATGCAGATGTTTAGCAATTCTGTATTTATTTGTTTTTTGGTATACTGTAAGAGATATATTTTAAAAAATATTTTGGAAATGATTACTGAACTAAATTTTGAAATATTAGAAAAAATACAGATTAAAAAAACGAAGAAGAAAAGAAGTAATATTGCTATGTAACAATTTTGTAAAAAGAAAGAAAAAAAACATAATTGAAAAATAGAATAATTAATGTATATCAATTAAAAGATCTCTAAGAGATGAACTTTATCGATAATAATGTCGGTTTTTTTTTTTTGTTTTTCAGTTTTTAGTGCATCTTTTTTCTAAAACTTTTTAAACTTCAAACCTTCTTCAATCTTTCTGTTTATTTTTTTGTGCATCTAATTTAATCTGTTAAAATATTTCAGTATTAACTGTTATCAGTAATATAAACAAATTACATCATAAAAAAATCCGGTTCAAATTTAAACCTTAATTCTGATATATGAAAAAAAAAAGAAAAACATAATGTCTGCGTATTTTAAATTCTCCCACGTATTACTTACGTGTTCGTAATTTATCACGCATTTTATTGTCGTAAATTTTATTAGCAGATGATGTTACCATATTACTTACTTTATTCCTTCTTTCGTTTTCTTTCATTACAATATTATTTTTTTCATTACTAAATTTATAATTGAATAATTTCAAATGACGATGATTATGATTTTTTTTAATATTACTTGTTTTATCAGCAATTGTTTTCCAGTATAATTGCTCATATTTTCCGGCTAATTTCTTACAAACATATGATACTGGGCGATAGTAGCAGCAATCATCAAACCATTTCCAATTTTCTGAGCTAATTTTAACACATTTTCGACTTTTCTTATAAATTGGCTGAGTTCCTGAAAATGCAATCAATCAAAAAAAGAAAATGAAATGTAGTGATATATCATATGATAAATTATATATGATTAATGATAATTATGATTATGATAATAATAAATATAATATTAGGTATACTAATTATGTACTAGTACCATAGATATATACTAATGATTTATTTCTGTCATATAACTTTATATTTTGTCAATAATATGAAATATATCAAATCATGTCAATTTTTTTTTCCTGCAAAAAGGATAAACGAAGAAATTTAGGAAATATTTTATAGCATAAATTTGCTACATTATTTGTATGTTAGAATATTTTCAAAAAAAAATTTATCAATTATTGTACATTCATTTTGGAAAAAAATTCTAATGAAGCAAATCTTTGAGAATAAATTAGTTATCATATAATATCAATAGAATTATTAATTCAATGATAAGATATTTTTGATTTTAAAAAATATATAAATAAAATGACAAATGAAAATGACACAAATCGAATTCATATGCAATGTATTAGTTGTAATTAAGTAGTAAATCATACACACATAGTGTTTGAAATTTTCATTATTGCATTTTTTTTTTTTTTTTTGCTTACATTTAAAAATTGAGCAGTTTAAAGTTTTTTTTTCCTTTTTTTTATTAAATCAAAATTTAAACCATTTTTTAAAACTATTTTCAACTTGTTTGTTTTAAACTTTGATAGAAAAAAGAAACAGAAAATCAAATGTATAAGATCTATGAAATAGAATAAATAAAATTATTGCATAGTACGATACAAGAAATTGATCTTGATTCATTTTTTGATAATTATCTAAAATCATTTTGATCTTCATTTGTTACCTAAACATTGATTTTAATTCATTTCTCGATTTCGATTCATTATCCGAATAAAATAAACAAAAATAAAAGTTAAATTGGCAATAAAAAGAGAAAAAGATTGAAATATGATTGTTTGAATGAATTTACAAATATAATTTAATTCTGTGTAAATTATAAGACTTTAAAAGTTGCAAAAAAAGAAAAGCAACTAATAATCGAATTGAAATTTCATACCATTTTGCCAATTGGTATAATCAAACGGTGTTGAATCAACGTATTCATACTTTCTTGAATTACCAAAAATTGCAGCACCAAGCCATATCGAATGACCATTTTTTGCAAACATAGCTTAAGTATAAAAAGAAATTAAAATTTTTGATATATCTTTTTATAATGATTTAATAAAATATACATTACTTTGTTTTAACAATTTTTTTAAATTTTTAAATTATCAAATTAACTTAATTTGATTATTCAAATTAAAAATCAAAAGGAAAAGAAAAAAAAAAAAGGAAAACAAATGCTATCACAATATTTTCTCTTTTATCAATTAGCTTTCTTATTATGATTTCAGCTTACTTTATCAGCTAATATTAAGCATAAAAATTTTACATTGTTATAAATGAAATATTAAATACTTTATGATATACAATCATAATAAAATAAAATGATTAATGATTGCATTAATAAAGGAAAAGAAAAAATTCATCAAAAATTTTGTATTTCTCCTCAAATAAACAATTAATTCCAACTCATTCAATTTCATTTTTATTTGCTATTATAACATTTCTATTTGCATAAAATACTTTTTACTTGCATAGAAATACTATCTTAAAAAAGGAGAAACTTTTTCAAAATTTTAAAATGTCTCTTCATAGCAATTTGTAGATATTTTAATTTCAATAAATTTTGTTTAATTTCAATATATTTTAGTTTGTAGATATTTTAATTTCAATAAAAAAAATTTAAAATTAATCACATTCTCCAATCTAATATGATATTTAATGAAACATAATAATAATAATAATAATAACCAATAAAAGATCTAATAGTGATAGCATAATAGTTTATTACAAATGATTATCCACTGAGTTCCTGATAATCAGATTTATCAAATTCAATTTTTTTTCTTGTGATTTTAATTCCTTGTTCAATTGTTTAATTTTGTAAATGCTCAAACATTTTCATTATGCTTTTGTCAACTTATCTACATCATCTCTATTTCAAACAATCAGCTAAAACTTCTCGATTTGATTTCTTAAAAAAACTGTTACTTTCTAACTTTGGCAAAAAATTTATGTTTAAATGAATTAAAAAAAAAAAAAAAAAAGAAGAAGAAAAGAAAAAGAAAAACATTAATTAATAGTAAATGAATAAAATAAAATAACACTTATTTGGTAGAATTAATGTATTAGGAAATATATTTATTATTTTAACTATCTAATTGTATTACTGAATTTTAATCATATAAATTTTTTATTAATCAAATTTTTTGTTGTAATAATAAATGAAACTTTTTCACCTTTCATTTTCTTTTCTTCTTTTTTACTAATTTTTATTTTATTAAACCTTTTTTTTTTTTTTTTTTTCAAAATTATTTACCAGAAATAAATCGATTTTCTGCTTCACTATGTATGCTTAGAAGATACGCATTTTGTAGAAGACATGCAAATTGAGCATTATTAAATGTCGTTGGTATTGTCACCAAATGATAGCAATATTTTGTTTGTTTTGAATAGAGCCATCCTTCTGGACATAATCGTCCTATTATTCCTGAAATGAAAGTTTTTTTGATATGATATAATGAATTTGTTTTTTAATTTGTATTTTTTTCCTTTTTCTTAAATAGGAATTATCAATACTTATTATTGTCATTGAATATTTATATAAAAATGAATTATTATTTAGGATAAGATAGATAGATGTTATGAATTAAATTTAACGTTCTTTTAATTTGAATATATAATCATTTATTTATTAATTTTTTTCTTTTTTTTTTTTTTTTTTTTTTGCATCTAATTAACTTGATCTAATAATTAATACTAAATGCTAAATATATCACAAATGATAAAAATTATTAATTATTATTATAAATTTTGATAGATTCTCATTATTATTTCTGGAAATATTCCACGTAAAATATGTTTTCATCATATTTTTTTTTATTAATGTTTTTTGAATGTTAATAAAACAATAAACAGATTTGATTAATGAAGGGCAAAATTTAATATCTTTATGATTTGTGAAATTTCAAAAAGAAAAATTCGCTTAATTTTGTATAACATAATAAGTGAAAAATTGAATAAATGATTAATCGATAAATTTAAAAAAAAGTGAATGTAACCTTTAAAAAGTAGAATAGTGATGAAGCATTTTATTATGCATATCATTATAATTAATATTAGATATTAGAATAAAAGATAAAATAATTAACAAACTGTTTGATCAGTACAAAATTCACAAATGATTATCAAAATTCTTTTTCTTTTTATTTTCAAAAAAAAAGAAAAAAAAAATTGAAGAAATGTCATTGAGTATTTGCACTTACTTCCTCTTTTATTTCTCATTACTACATAATTGATAAATTGAATTCTTTTTTTCTATCATTTTAAAACGAATTTTTTTTTCCTTTTCGTTCATTTTGATAAAAGCAACTGATAATACATTAAAAAAAAAAATGTAATTGAAATAATCGTAAAAGTAATTAGCAAAAGATTTTCTTTGACATTTTGCTACGGAAATCATCAATTAACAATTTTACTTTATTTATCTTTTTTATAAATGATTTTTGAAGAATTTCTTTTACCTTTTTTTTTTTTTTCTCTCTCACTCTCTTATTTCTTTTTACTAAGAGAAAAATGAGAAACGAATAAATTTTTGCTCATTTTTCTCACTAATTAATTTCATTTCAAATAATTTTTTCACCAATATTCATCGTTTTCTTTCAATATTACAATAATTAGCAATTAAAATTTAAGTAAAAAAATTTATTTAAAATTCACTTCTTTTTTTCCAGAAGAAAGAAGAAAAAAAAGAAATGACCAGTGTAAATAATAAAATGTTATAAAAGTGAAGATGTACTTAATTTTTTGAAAAGTAATAAATATTTATAAGAAAATTATTAAATCATAAAATTGATGAAACTATTAATTAGCTAAAAAAAAACAATAATTTAGGAAGGAAAAAGATTAAAGTATAAGAAGATAAGAAGTAATGAAAGTGCATCTGACATTAAGTGACAAAATCGACGACAAAAAAAATTAGCGTAAATAATTGGACATGAAAAAGTAAAAGTATATAGCAGGAAGTGACGTATGTAAAAGAAAGTACACAACGGAGATGTGATAAGAAAACTGATATGATAAATCGGGGATGACAAAAGTTACAATCAAAATTCAACAAAAGTATAAAACAAAATAAATTAATAGGAATAAATGATAAGAAATGGAAGTTATAAAAATATACATACAATGTATTTTAATAATTTACCTATTATCAAATTTTGAAAAGTAACAAAAATTTTTTTTTTTTTTTTGTTTGTTTGTAATAAATATATTTATCAAAAGTATTATAAATGTATTGCTACAAATGCAGTAATCGTTTTATCAGTTGTTAAGATAACTACGGAAATAATTAAATAATAAATTGTAGAAATACAAAACTATCAAAATGACTTTAGTGAAGTTGATAACAAAAATATAATTAATTATAACTAAAATTTTTATTATACATCATTAAAATCTGTTATTTTATAATTCTTATCATTTGCTTTTTAAATTTGTAATTAAAATTTTCAAGTGTCAACCATTGTCATGAAATAATTTCATTAACAAAAAAATATATTATTCATTTAATTTTAATAATAAAATTTTTTAATTTTTTAATAATAGAAATTAATTTATTTAATAATAAAAAAAGATATTTATTTTTTATATTTTATTTCTGAAATAGTGCAAATAACACGATTGAATGAAATTAATACTCATTAAATCTGTATGCTAAAGCAATGTGAAACTGTCATACTAAATTCTTTTTTTCAATTTTACGTCTATTTAAAAAAATTCTCAGTTATTATTAAATTTTATTTAGACTTAAATTTTGCAAAAAAAGTGATGAACGTGATGCAAACGTGAACGTGAAACATTTTATACGTGTTTAATAGCAGAATGCATTAATCTTAATTTTATCGTTACATTGCTTTGTTGTCTTCAAAACTGATAACAACAAATGGCAAAATAAAATTTTTTTTAAATTTGTCCTCAAATGGAGACAGATAACAAAGATAATTTTTTTGTCAACTAAATCAATTTTTTTTTTTTTTTTTGATTTTTTTAAAAATATTTTAATTAGCTTATCTTGTTTCTTGCATACGACTTGAAGATATTCATCATACATTTATGGTTTTCATACAATTTGTAGAATTTTCATTTCAAATATAATTAACTGATATCGATTATATTTATCTTAATTGAAACTAATATATTAATAAAACTGTTTGAATTTTGAATAATAATGTAAAAATTTTTAATAAATACAAATCTATAATTCCAATTTTTTTATCAAATATTAATTTAGAATTGAAAAAAAATTTTATCTAAACTATTCTAATAAAGTTTTGATAATTAATTAGATTTAATACTTAATGGTAAAACATAATTTATACATTTCGAAATGTTTCATTCATTTGATTAAAAAAATTATTCATTTGTGTTAGTGAATTAAATTGCTATCATTTTTTCTGTGTATTTTTTTTTTTTTTCATTTTTCTAACCATTCACAAGTTCTAATGAAAAAATTAATTAAAAAAAAATTTTAAAAAAAAATAAAATTAAAAAATAGAAAAAAATAAAAATAATCTATTAAACAAAAAAAAAAAAGTGCAAAGGTAGAGACAAAAAAGGCGATTAAACCATAATTAAATTATTTTTGTAAAAATAAGTGAAATTAGAAAACCAAGTAATTCGTTCCTTATTAATGATTTCAAACGCAAAATTCTCTGCAGCTAACAAAAAAAAAAAAAAAAAAAATTGAAATTTAAAAAGAAAACTTCATTTTCTTTAAAAAAAAACGAAACAAAACAAAATAGAATTTTGAAAATTGTATTTAAATTTTTGAATGAAATTAATAACTTGATTATAGTGTGAATTTTTTTTTAACATTTTTCTATTTCTTCTTTTAAAAATTCTACTGAAATTCTATTGAAATTAAAAATACAATAAATTTTGGAATTTGTATTCAATTTTTTAAACGGATTAATAATTTATTATTTTTACAAAGATTATTATCATTTGTGTTTTTTTTTTTTTTTTTTTAAAAAAAAAGACTGACAGTGATAAAAAATGAAAATATATCAAATAATCATCTCATTGTATCAATCATTTGTAATTATTAAATGATAATGGAAGTAAATAAAGAAATTTTTGTTTTTGAATTTTAATCTAAAATTTTTTTATTTTTGTAATAATTTTCCATTATGATAGAAGTAAAATTTATTTTTGAAATTTTACTTTGTTAATTTTTGAAAGTTTGATACTCTGTGGGATATGTAAATGCTTAATATTTTGCAAGATATATAAATGCATAAATAATCATTGATTTATTTGTTTACTCAAATAAGTCAAATTTTAAAAACATTTCAAATTTTTAAACAAACAGCTTTTCAAGTTATATCAACTGAGCAAACATTCATAATCCATCGTGTATTTCAAAAATAAAACACTAATTTTTTTTTTTTTTTAAGGTAATTTCCTTAGATTTTACCTTTGAATATAAACCAAAGTTTGTACTTTTCTTCTAAATAAACTAAATGTTCACAGATTTTTTTTTTGTTTTATCTTTTGTTTTTCTATTTTTTCGATTGAAAATTGATTTCACATTTTTTTTTTTTTTTTTTTTTTTTTGTTGCTTACTTTTCTCTGAAATTTATTGGTTATTCTGAAGTCTATAAATTGGATTAAATCTTAAATTCAATTTGAGTAACTTTAAAATGCAATAGTGATTGCAGTTCGACTAATTTGCCATGGATGTGTATACTTTGTTGAAAAATTTTGACATTATTCATCAATGAAATATCTCAATTTCTTACTTTTAATTATTACCTAAATTATTGGCTACTTTTTGAATAATTAAATTAAAATATAAAATTCTCATTGCTATAAAAAATTTTATATTTTTATTATAAATTATTACTTTTGTCTCTTTATTATACAATATATTATGCTATATTTGCAAACTTTTCATCTTTTGCCATTTTTAAAATTTAATTTTTTCAAAATTATTTTAGCTGTATAAAAATTTTAGAGAAAATGAAATGTTTTTTGTTTGCTTTTGTAATGATTTAATGATAAGCTATTGATTATAAGTGATGAATAAACTTGAAATTATCCAACATTTATTGAATGAAATATGTGTGAATTTATTATCACTGATAAGATATGGAAAAAAATTTGATAAGCATTTTTCATTTTTATAGGCTATTAGTGTATTCAGTTAAAGTAAAGAAGCATTAAAAGACTATCTTTTTACTTCTATTTTATTTAACTTTAACAATAAAAGGAAGAAACTAATTGAGAAATTTTCTTTTATTTCCATTTTTTTTTTATTTTTAATTTAATTTTTTTCATTGCAACTTTTTTTTTTTTTATTTAACAAAAGTATTTAATCAGTCTTTTCATCTATTTAAACTTTTTTCATTTATTTATTTATCATTATTCGACATATCTAACATTTTTGCACACACTTAGTTTTATTTATTTATTATTTGTTCGTTTATTTTTTTTACAGTATGAAAAAAAAAAAAAAACGAAAATGTTTTATTCAAGATGAAAAGAAGAAAAAAACGAATGCTTTAAAAGAAAAGAGTGGAAGGAAAAAAAAGTAAAATTCCATTTTGTCTTTTTTTTTGCTTTTTTTTTTTTATTTGAATGTTTATTTGAATATTTTCGTTGAAATATGTAAATAAACGCCGGAGACATAATGAAAATTTAAATAAATTACGGATATTTCACATAATGCAACAATATTTTATTGTTTATTTGACATTAAATTAGTTTAAGCATCAAACTTTTATTTAGAATATTTGAACTTTTGTTATTGACATCTTATATGATTTGTTGGCAAAATGATTTAAAAATAAACAAATGTTGATAAAATATTGAAAGAAAAAAAAGCTCCAATAAAATAAAATTGAATTAATGAATAAACATTGCAGAATGTTTTTATTGTTTATACATACACTTATATTCTAATATTAATTTTTGTAATTTTATTATTAAAAAAAAATAAATAAATTTAATATTTTTAATTTTTTTATAAATCTTAGTTTTTGTAATTTTATTAAATATTTACGAATTTTTTTTTCCATTCACTCATCAGAATAGTTTTATTTTTT